ATCGGAGAGATAACTCACAGGTCGGTGAAGCTACATAATTTGCTGGATTTCCATTTCCCTAGAACGTCCTCTATCTAGAGATCATTTGACAGGTGTGAAGGCAGGAAATGTTAGGATACGGCATGCTAAACGGCCAGCGGAGGTGTGATTATTTTATGCGCAATAAAAGAAAAGAAAAGAAAAGCAAGCCAAAAAGAAAACCCCTGCCAAGTCGCACAATAATTTTGTTAGTTGTAAAGCACACCTTTGAATTTACAATTTAAAACAGAGCAAACGTTTGACGCTGATAAATGCTGACTACCGTTTCGAAATAAATATATAGATATGGTCGGATTCTATCACACGCGACATCGACCTGCTGAATCGGATATACTGGTAAAAAACTGAATTCCAGGAAAGTTGACTAAGGCCCTGTTTATGTGAAGAAAACTTGTCCCGAGTAGAAGTGTCACTCGCCCACCCAAGCTACCCTGGGCGAATCAAAACTTGCCAGTCCATTCACATGACAAAAAGTTGGCTCGGCTAGCCTCACCCGTTTTCGATGGCAGGGTCACTCTCCTCCATGTAGAAACTGTGGCTCGCTCAGCCGGGTCAACTCGGTCAAGGCGAGACAATCACAGCATGCACAAGCGCTGTTGTCAGCCCTTAGCTTGGGCAAATTGGTCGACTTTATCCCATACAGTACCATGCAAAACACTATAAACGCTCGCTAAAGTTCACTCGGCTCTGAGGGTGACCCTCTTTCCCAGGTCAACTTTTCTATTTCTCTAGTAATCGATAGGCTTATTTCAAATAGAAGTGTTTACCTGGATATGTATCCTCCAAAGTCCATCATAAAGTATAAAGTATGGAAGGGAAGGAAACACAATGCATAGCAAATAACTACTGCTGACAACATTTTGATGATCCTCTTTGTGGCTTGAGCCTGTGTGAACCCTGGTCTATCAGCAGCTTCTTTGATCGCTAGACGCAACTTAAGTCCAATCCGTACGTATATAAGAATCATAATCGGCAGTGGGATAGCGTAAGTTAAGGCAAAACTGCACAACAAGTATATTTTTTGGTACGATAAGCCAGAAGTTGGTGGCCAAAATTCCCTGCAGCTGACCCAATCTTTAGCGAGTTGGATCTCCATGACTCCCAGCATTGGAAACGCTGGTAAAAGAGCAGTCAGCCATATCAGTATCATGATAAGCTTTCCTTGAGATCTTGTAATGCGCCGACCGAATGGATACACAATGGATTGATGGCGGTCTGTAGGAAAATCAGACCAGAATATGACTGATGTAAATAACCGGGAGGTGCTCCTTACACGCGGAGGCTCCGCAAACACAAAAGATACACAGATCAAGTGGTTGGTACAGTTCGAGTATCGCAAATGATCCCCCCACCGCAAATGGTCCCCAAAATGGACTGCAAATGATTCCCATTGTCAACCGCAAAATGATCCCAAGAGGAAAATCAGACTGGCTTGGACTCAAATTACTGGAACATCGTGTCAAGTTTATTATCACATTTTGCTTCATAAATAAACGTTACAATTATTGTAAAACTACATTAAAGACTTTGTTCAATTAGTGAAACACAAATTTTAGGGATCATTTGCAGCCTCAGATCATTACGGTCGGGGGTCATTTGCGGTATTGGCAGAAGCCCGTTGGCTCCTGGTACCTACTGCAAGTAATAATTGACTCCTTACCTATTGAAATGGCCAACATAGTTCCCACAGATCCCATAACAAAACATGGCATTAACGCAGGAAGAACTTTGCACATCACTGACCCAAAGGGCCAATAGAAATTAAGTTCAAAATAGACAACTGTAAATGGTATACATAACAGTCCAACACCAAGATCAGCAACAGCCAGATTTGCAATCAGATAACCCGTTACTGAAAAAAAGTAAATCATCCACCCATAAGTATGCATTTGCTTTCCTTGAGTACCGTAGCGGTACCACAACTATAACACCACTAACATAGTACTTTTAGTGGAAGTGCAAGTGGGCACAAGATTACATTTTCAAAATTCAGTAGCATAACGATGACGTATAAAACTTCAAACAATGAAAATGACAATTGTACCGTGAAGTAAGACGACTGTATTTTTGGTTAGTTTGTTTTTGTTGTTTGTTTGTTTTTGGTTTTTGTTATTGTTTCTGTTGTCGTTGTTTCAACCGTATCGGAGGCAGAGCTGGAGATAATTCTGCACGGTTAGACTACAGATCTGTGAGAATAAAATATATGAAAGCAATAAATAGATTTAGCCAAGGCCAAGTGAAGCTCTGGTGGGATCTTTAAGAAATGTCTTTCTGAAGTTAATTCAACCTTCCCCATACGAGCTCCGTTACTCATGACTTCCCCGTCCTTGAAACGATTTTAGGTGCCATCGCACGCGTCTGCGCTGACAGGTGATTTTTCGCTTTGATATCATGCATAGGATTTGCAAAGTTTCCCATGAGATGGCATGTACTGGATAACTAATTATCCTAGCACGTTACTGATTAACTGATCATGCCTTTAAAATGAATAAATAGTCACAGTGAAGGTAAACTGAAGGAAGGTCACTCAATTGGTTTCTTCCTTTTTCTCAATTATTTTAAATCTTATGTCGTTCTACACCGCTTGGTTTTTCCGATTTTTGGCTATTAGGAAATGACGACCAAACTCGATTGTCGAAGAAAAAAGGAGGCTATGAATGGTTGTAGAAAAGATTAATGTCCTTTTAAGATAGTAAATTAACAGAGTAAAGCAGGATTTGTGAAACTGACCATGCCCACGTACCCACGTACCTTGAGCGATACTTGTGTATAACTTCCAACGCAATTGGAAAATATATTGTGAGAGATAGACTGCGAGTCCAAATATTCTATGAATAGTCATTAGCTTATCTACTTCTTCTTCCCCAAAAACATGACAAAAAACGATTTGTTGAAGACGTTGTATTTGTTTTCGTTCAAAACACCGGCTCGCTACAAGTCAAATGAGTATGTCACCCAATTAGATCACAAAATTCGAGATGGTATGCTACTTGCTTTGTACTAAATGTTACTTACAGCTGTTTTTCGATTTAGCTAGAGCCCAACTAGGGGTAGCCTGCGAACAGGCGGAAATAAAGCCTACTGTACTCTTGAGATCATTATACCATTGATGTCACACTGAATGTCACAGCACTGACACACGACCGTAATCATAAAAATCTTTATAACATAAACCTCAGGAATCAAATGCAGGTCTCAGTTTATATGGGGGAGTTAAATTTCCTCACCGGATTTTACAACTAAAATTTCTTTAGTTATCATCATGACTGAATGCTTACGTCAATCAGTAACAACTAGCAATGATAAATGCTTCTGGCATTTAATATTTTTACCAACACTATTACCAGGGCACTATTATTCACTGTATCGCGTGCTACTTGTTGCCTTCCACCTAATGTGTGTTAAAAGTCCGGACATTCGGTATTTAATGGTTGTCGTCTGGCTCAAGCTGTGGTAAAGATGATGTCAAACCCGGTTGCTGTGTAAACCATAATGCCTACACTGGTGGTCAAGTCAATACACATGTTTTATAAATTTCCGAAAACGGTGAGATGAAAAGCAAAGCTGGGTATGGTAGACCTTCCTAGCTTAACGCAGAGGTTCATTTCCACTCACGTCTTTTAAGTATTTGTGGGTACTTTGACACCCACAAGAATTTTGAAGGAATTTTTATGTATTCGGTTTCAGTAGAAAAAACCTTCTATAAAATTAGTTTAGTGGACGTCAGTTTCCCTGTCTCGTAAAATAACAGAGATATCTCGTGTCATAACAAGATCATAAGTGAATTTTGGCGATGAATGAAAATGCGATTGTAACACCTTATGAAATCAAAGAACTGGGATTATGAAACGATACCAAAACAGCCTCATTAATATAATTGAAGAGCTTAGATAGCAATGTTATGTCTAGGCGCCGCCGCCCTTTACCTGTCTATTTTCGAAAATGAAATATTTTTCCTTTTTTTCTGCTTCACCTTTCCGTCCACACATTAACGACGTTTTCGGGCACCACAAACACAGGTTTTCGAAAACGGTCCAAAGAGTTGAGATTTTGAAAACAACGACTAACTGCGCTAATGTATTGACGAGCTAAAACGGAGAATTTCAAACGATGATGTCATGCACCATATCACAAGCAGTGCGCATGCTCTTTAAGGGATGCTCTTTTACATGATCGGTGTCTTCGTGTGGACAGGGGAAAGGGATTCGTGGACGTGTATTTCTATGAAAACGGAGAAACAAATCCCCTTTTTCTGAAAATATCCCGATACTTGTAAACTGGCCTAAAAGGTCAGCTACTTTGTATTAAATTCCCCCAAAAAAATACAGCGACTTTTAAGTTCATTATAATATGATGTATTATATGGACAACTTCAAGAAGGAACGCCATTGGAATTCCCATCTGCGGAAAAACCGGAAAACTCTTCAAGGATTTTCCGAAAAGGAGCCCAGAAATTTGTAAAGGAGAATTATTTTTTCCATAGAATGTCATTAAACAACGTGGGAAAAGGGCGATAGACAATTGAACCTTCAAGCAGCAAAAACCCTTGTACGGGCGCGAGATGATGAAATCGGTGTCTAATGCTAAATAACGAAAGCACTGCGTTGTACAGTTCCGAGCTCGCAACCGTCTTTGAAAGAAGAATGTTAATCCAATTATTTTTGCCGTGGCCTTTGTTACCCTCTTTTGTTTCACAATTTTGTGTTCTTCTTTTGTGTTTCTAGATATCAACCGGCTTGTACTCTTCACACTAGTATTAAAAAACAAAATGAAATGGGATACTGAGGTAAAAGCAGAAAACAAGGCGTAGCAATTGTGGTAGTTGTAAAGAGTTAGGAACAGTTTGCATGTGGGAATCGTGGTCAGTTTAATGGACAAGAAACAATGTAAATATTCTTGTGTACATAGAACAGAAAATGGAGGTTGCCTCTTGTTTGCATTTGAACAGGAAATGAACACACCTTTTGTCTTCACTAAAAACGATAGAGTACATCGTAAACTTTCTCAAGAACGTAGATAATTCATCCTGCACAACAACCTTTTAGATTGCCGATTGTTATTGTCATACGTTCGTTTCAATGTGTTGAATATAAATCAATCCAACTGCAAATAAGCTACAAGAGACACGTAAGCTGATTAACTCAGCCCACAACTGAAATGAACGTTGTGTATTGCATTAATTTTGCCCAGTTGGTGTTATCAGCACTTTTGTGTCGTTTTGAAGTAATTGCCTCAGCGGACGTTTGATTATAGTATCAATGCCAAAACACAGTCCTGAACAATATTATCAATACCTTTGCTTATTGTTGTTGTGTTGTATGGGTGAAAGTTTATTCGCTTGGTATTCCTCTTAAAAGCTTTTCGGTTCGAAAAAGCAAACGCAGAAAGATAAAAACTACTTACCGGTATGCAATTCTCGTGTTTTGTACACCACGAAAATAACAAGAGCATTTCCAAACGTAGCTAACAGGAATATAATCACGTAAACCGTAAGACGAACAATTCGAAGTCCCAGCGGTTCTTTGACGTAGTCCATTGGTGTTTCGGTCGGTGCCGTTCCCGTCCCGTTCAACTGAGTTGATGCCTCAGAAAAACTCATTTTATGACGAAGTAAGCCTGTGTCTTGTTCCAGTGACACTTACGATGGCGTAACGTAGGTTCCTTGAACGCCCTTTGCCGTAATAATATTAATTGACCAAAGGAACTGAGTTGCGATAAGAAGTTAAGAATATCTGGGCGCATCTACATTCTTGACATCGGCTTGACATCTGGGTAGTTCACCTCAATGCTTTCTAACAATGTAATGGCTCTCTGTGCGTTGAAATGCAACCACCGGGTTTACTCAAACAACAAATAAATGTCAATTAGAGGAAAGAGTCCACATTTGTTTCCTGATTACATCAAGCCAGAAGCACTTTCTTGCCGTTCATCTTTGGCATGATACATCAAGATCAATTTTGACGAGCATGGTCGTAGAGCGCTGAAATCTCACGTTGAAATCATGTTGAAATGCAATCAGACATGTCAGATTTTATCATTTTAATAGCAATTTAAGAGCTAAGACGGGATTTGTTGATCAACAATGAACACGAACAAGCCTTTGTGTTCTGCCTACTTTGCGGTGCTAGGTTTCCCAACCTTGATTAACATTTATTAATTTATGAGCCAGTCTGAAAAAGAAGCACATCGAAAAAACAGTTTGGTAAGAACTCATGAGACACTAAGGAAAACCGCACGTATCGACCCTGTGGTGTTCATCAAATGTGGTATTCACTTCATTGAAGCGCGGATTGTAGATATGATAAGTGCCATTAGCCGTTGTTAAAATCATCAATCTTCATTAGCATCATAAAGAAAAGATCAAAAGTAATAATACTTGGCTAATTGTGAAAGTGACACTAACACTAATTCAAATGACGAGCATTGCATTACAGTAGCTTTAAGAGTGCTAACGTTTGCGGCGGGAAATGTTTTCTTTTAATTTAATACAATTTAAAAAAGCAAGGTCATAACATGTCAGCATCCACGTTTGAGCAGGTATGTACTAAGTAGAATAAATCCGGTAATAAAAAAGGCCAAGTGTTCAAGAAAACAGCGTGTCATGTTCTCTTCATACTAGCCTGACTTGCGCATAGAAGAACTTTTAAAAAAGATGTATTTTTATATCAAAATTTTGGTGTATTGAAAAGATTGCAACAGGTCGTTTGGCTCTAGCTCTGATCGAAAGACGTTATGAAAAAGTGGCTGGGTGAGTCGCCGAAAATATTCCTGTGAAAGTATTTAACAGACTGGGCAGCTGATGACTAGAAAGAAGGCTGACTATTTTTGGGTGGCCGTTGTCCCGAAAGCGGGAAATCGCTTCGATAGCGAACTTTTGTAAGGTTCGTTACAATATATGGGGTATAAAGGTCTACAAAGCATATGGTACTTTGAGAATTCTAACGATTTGAACGGCACGTAACTGTGTTCAAGGTTCAAGCCAAAACGTTAAGGAACCGGGTGAAAGGAAAGTGTTGATAAATAGAGGATATTACATGGCCGCGCGGAGATACGAAATTTCTCTTCGAGTGTTGAAAAATATTTCACGAGTGAGCGCATATTTTTGTATGAGCATTATTGCAATAAGGTATGCATCTCATACCTCTAAAGCCCCGTGCAAACGAACGCAACATTGTTGGCCAGCAACTCCCAACATGTTATTATATAAACACCAATGAACTACCAAACCATTTCACTTTAATAGTTTTTTGGTGTGAAAGGCGCGATTTATTATGTAGTCATAGCAACGGTGATATTTTCACATGTGAAGATAACATGTTATTTTCAGATGTGTCACATCTTCACATCATGTGAAGATATCAAGTTTTCGCGCGAAAGCTCACCTGGTATTTCATTGGTGTTTATATAATAAAAAATTTTATTTAACTGTCTTTACATAACAGTTCATATTAAAGACATTATTGAGAGTTCAAATTAACGACAAAATAATTAGTTTAATTAATTAACTTTCCTTCGCCCAACAGTAGTCACCGCGGTCTACTGTGGTGTTGTCTGCTAAAGGATTGTGTACTTTTGAAACAACTCAGTATCGGACATTTTGTAAAAGTAATTATAAAATATCCCTCCCTGGGTCTTCGGACCTCCATTCACTGGATGGCAAACGTTCTAGTCCGTTCTCGAGAGGCTGCAGGAACCCTCTCATGTCTGCTCGGGATCTCGAAGAAGAAAAATGCATGCTGTTTTAATTTAAGCCCATAAGCTATATACTGTAAGCGTAGGAAAAAATGTATTCCTACCGAACACCCAAAAAATGCAGATGTTAAATTCCACGAAATAAGTAAACTGTGATTTATGACTATGGATTTACGTATTGCGGGCAGTAGTCAGTAAGAGTGCAAAAGATTTTGGAATGGGCTACCAAATTTGAAGAAAGGCCACCAACCAAATCAGTTACCTTTTTCACTTCCTACGTAATTACTGAACAGTAAATCCGTTATCATTGACTGGTTCGCAGATGGCAGTTGCTTGATCAGCCCAACACATTTGCAAAAGGCCGCACAAAATTTGATACCGTAAGAGGGCTTTCGATTTTACAGCATTGCTTCACTGATTGTTATCAGTCCAAGTTTTATGTAAGAAAATGAACCAAAGTACACATTAGTTCGAATAAAGCTTTTAATTACCACGGTGTTTGCATAAATAACCTTTCTCCGTTTTGTACAAAGCCAATCCTTTACCAGCAAAGAATTTCTTATAGCTTTGAGAAATTCACAAGAAATATTTTACACATGCAGTAACATCGTCCTATTTAATGAAAAATGAGAATTTAAAAAAAGCTGAATAGGAATAAATTAGGCCGTTCACTACATTCAGCAATCTGTATTCTGACGGAAGATGACGCCTTTAAGGTGACAAATTTACTTCCTGTCAACTCCACTGAATTCTAAGGCAGGTATGATATCATACCGTATAACTGTTTGTGGGATTATTAATAGAGAATATCAAAATATAGTTTACATGGCTAACTTATTCCTATTTGGCTTTTTTTGTTTTTAGTTATTATTTTTGTATGAGCGTTATTGCAATAAGGTATGCATCTCACACTTCTAAAGCCCTGTGCAAACGAACGCAACATTGTTGGCCAGCAACTCCCAACATGGTTGGATGTTATATGTTGTGTCCGTTTACACACCCTGTTGCATGTTGTTGCGTGTTGTTGCATCCGTTTGCACGTGGCTTAAGGTGTTTTAAAAGCAAATCACTTTTAAGCATAATTAACATTTTTACTCTTTATAATGATCCCTACATTTTTCTAATCTGCTATTATACATTTTATACAGTACTTTACATTGCATTATATTCAATCACAAGTTGACGTTATTTAAAGTTTAATAATTTGACAATTAGTCCACTTAAATTACCTGACCTACAAAGGTTTCTCTTAATTATTTACCTTCTGAATCCTTTTACTCCAAGAAAAATGCAATTATTCATTTGCTTAAATCAGGGACCTCGTGTTAAAAAGGGGTTTATTTTAATCAGCGCCGCTACTAAAAGGGTGTTCGGCTAATATACAGTTTTACTGATAAGAACAATTCCGCCCATATTTTAACAAATGTGAGGTCATACAAGTGAACACTGATTGTTCAGGGAGAGCGTCTGGCAATGCATCGATGTGTTACCCAAAACCGTTTTTAAATAAGTACCACAGTAAAGATCCTAGCAAGATCGGTGGCAAATTAGTCGTTCCAACAACTGAGAGAAGTTTCTTTAACAAAAAATATATATATATGACTAGGAGTCAATCAATAAGTTAGGGACGTAGTTCTATTCTAATAAGAAGGTTCAGGGGTGGACCCTCCAAACCTTGGGAAACTTTAACCAGCTCTAACGGAAATTTGCAACAGGTGTAGGCATTGGAAACACCTGTTCAACAGCAAATTGCAGTTACGAATTACACTTTATACCGCGTTTTGGAAGCTAGGACTTTTTAATACGTACCAAAGGAAAATGAAATTTAGCCGAACAAAAGCAAATATATGGGCACACTTTGGCTTTGCTAGTTCCTTGGCCCTTGTTACATCTTGGTTGCACTTTACATGTATAAATGTGCGTGCTGCGCAAGGGCATGAGTTTTGAGCCCTTCTGGTTTAAAATTGGGTACAACTTTTAACCACTAGGGTCTAACATAGGTATGCCTTTTAGACACTTTGGAACCAGGGTTTGTAATTAGACATGTTTTTCACCTCTTAGAACGGAGGTACGGAGGTTCAGGTCTGAAAGAAAGGTAGGGAAAATCACATATATTGGTCTACAATAGCGAGGGGGAACTTTCATATCTCGGTATTAAATAGGAAAGGGAAAATCACTTTATCGGGTTTGAATAGGGTAGGGAAAATTACGTAATTTGATCTGAAATAAGGTTCGGAAATTCAGGAAAAGTGCGCAAAGTCCGGAAATTTGCACACCCTCACCCAAATATTCAAACCCCCCGCCTCCTCTTCGACCTCCGGAGCTTGCGCGCATACAACATACGGAAAATTGTAACGTACATTGTGCCGCCTATCAATGTTTCCTCCACCTGTTTCCTTCATCAAATATCACTTTACTCCAGTCAATAGTAATAAGAACAGATAAAACGGAAAGCTCAAGACAAAAAAAAAAAATAGTGTACACTTACAGCACCTAGTCGCATTGTCAAGATACGTACATTGTTAAACAGTTTCTCCTCCTGTGACTTCTCTCTCTTCTGCAACCTCATTCACTTGTTGATCGACTTTTAAGCGCCATCGCAAATGAGATGGCAGAGCTCTTTTCCCCAGATGACTAGCAAGGTCGGCTACTTCTCTCTCGAACTCCGCCAATAACACAGAAGAGTCGCTAATTGGCGAGTGATGAGTAACCAAGCCTAGGCGAATCTGTCCACCGTGATTGGTAATAGAGATTGACAAACCATTTTCTGTCTTTCTCGGAGCCCAGCACGCCATCATCTTTGCCATTTTGCCGTTAAGATATACAGGCGTGTTTGGTCCTGGGATTTGGGTCACCGTACAGGAGACCTTTTCAGTTAAATAGTTAATGATCCGTCTACCAACAGACAGAGGGAAAAGTAGGAGACAGAGCTTGATGAACCCATAAATGATGATCGTCTCAAGAGTAAATGAAAACTTATCTATTCTCCGTCTGGTTTCCCAAAGACGAGGGACAGCTCCTACAAAATGATTAAGTTGAAATAAAATAAGTACACGCTTACCCTCGAGGGACCCTCCGCTAGAGTTATCCGCTTAATCAGGTACGTTTTTCATATGACATGGGAAGTTACGTTGGGACTTCTACTAATGCCCATGCGCGCTTAAAAATGAAAGTGGTAACGGACGTAACTGATTGTCAACTGTTCCAGACTTCACAAGTGTTGACCTGCGTTCTGACGGCTTTATTATCAGTCACTGGTTAACACAGGTAAGAATAAGCTAGTGACTCAACAGAAGATAGGTTTGAGAAAAGGTGGAATATCCGTTCACGATTTCACGCAATTCGGAGCAAAACCTCTTCTCGTACTTTCGATAGGTAATCGTTACTTCGCAAAGTAGATTTCGTACCGTTGAAAGACTCGTAAACAATCTCTAGTTATCTGTTGTGGAAAGCGTGAAGGCGTTGGGCAAGTGATAACGGTTGCGGGACGTGATGGGAAGGACGAAGAAGCAGCTTTCCGATTTACGTCTTGCTAGTTCTTAATGCAATGCAATCACATGACCCGGGAGCTGAAAGAGTCTGTACCGTTGGTCTGAAAGGATGTCATCAAATCTGACAAAATAGACCCATCTTCACTCGTAAATAGAAAGTACAAGATTTTCACATGTACGGGTTGTTCTAACTTACCAAAATGCTATTTGGCAGTTACATATTGCGAGATAGGTATCAGAAATGCAGTAGGAATAATAATAATAATAATAATAATAATAATAATAATAAAACTGAGGGAGCCCATTCCTTATAAGCCCGGTGGCTTCTCTTGGGCTTCCTCGCCATGAGAGTTTAAGTAATTAGATTTTATTTGATTTGTACAATTTTTGGCAAACAAAACAATAAACAATAAACAACAAGGAAGTCAAAGGAAAGTTCCCAACGTGAGAAAGCAAATTGACTGGAAATTTTTCTTCAGAGAATACGATTACAAAAGCCAAATCATGACAAACACAGTTTTACAAGATGTTTACAAACTCCCTCACTTTGTTTGCGCAAAAAAAATGACATTTGAATTGAAAATTTATGTTCGGCCTTCTTGTGAACGTGAACCGGCGTTTGAGGGTGTACTCAGTGGTCAATTAAAAATTTCAAGACAGTTTGGGGTTAAGTAACCGGCCGCGCTGTATCTTACTAAAGATTTTTATGATGTGCGTAAGGCAGGTTGGTTAATAGCGGCCTGGTTTTAACTCATACCTAAACAGATTAGTCTGCAAGCAGTCACGTCACTTATTTTTCTTTTGCAGTTGCTACGAGTCACAGTAGATCGAGGGCACGCATGAATGGCGAGCGGTGAAGCCGTGAGGAACAACGGCGGAAGTCCTAGCTTCTTCGTCCCTCCGTCTTAAACTCTCCTCCTTTTTACAATTAATTTGCATAAAAATTTTTACCTTTTCGCGTGCGCGGTTCTGAAGAAAGAAGGACGACCGCTCGCGGTCTAAAACAGGTTAAGAGCCTGTTTCTAGCCTGTTTCTAATAGTCGTGGGTCGTGGGTCGTGGGTACAAGTCGTGGGTTGTGGGTGTGGGTGTGGGTAAAAGTCGTGGGTGTGGGTAATAATAATTAACAATGTTACTAATTTTTGTTAAATATTAATAAATTAAAATATTACAAGTTTTGGATTTTTTTTAAATACTCGACAACAAAACGAACATAACACGATGTATGAAAATTATACAACACTTCCCCTACTCTGTTACTCTACCAGAGATCATCGACCGCCAGCGCAGGGGGTGGCGGTGGGTACAGGAGCAATCGAAAGAAAAAGAAATAACGTTGAACTAATTTTTGTCTTCAAATATAAAGATGACATAGGAAAGCTGTCAAACTCTGTCTCCACCATAAACTGGTCAAAAACGCTTTCAAAAGGGTCTTGCGAAAGCTAAACTTATTTCACTAACAACGGAAGAACGTCACACCCACGACTTTTATCGACACCCACACCCACACCCACGACCCACAACTTGTACCCACGACCCACGACCCACGACCCACGACCCACGACCCACGACCCACGACCATTAGGCAAACTCGGACCAAAGGTAGGTGTGGTAACTCGCTCGGTGGGGTGGAGGAATAACCCGCGGTTACAAGCAATCTTACAACCCCGCCATCCCGGGGTGCACTTTCTCAAGATTATTGAATGGCTGCTAAGCAAGTAAACCAAAAAATGGGATGTTAAATGTTGCGTCCGTTTGCACACCCTGTTGCATTTTGTTGCATGTTGTTACGTGTTGTTGGGAGTTCTTGCATCTGTTTGCAGACCACTGCCAACACAGATGCAACAACTCTCAACATTTTCGGGCCAACGATGTTGGGAGTTCGTGTTACGTCCGTTCGCACGTAGCTTAAGATTCAATTTGTTTTGCAACCATTTTGTAATCCACTTGTGGTGTCTTGCACAGTCAGGTAATGTTAAATGACTTTCACACTCTTGGTATGTAAACCTAATTGCACTTTATGACACACCACACTTTAATGAGTAAAATGTAATTTTCCTTTAAACTAGCCACTGAATTACCAACAGTATCATACCTTCTGTTCCTACTGGAAGTTTGACAAAAGCCAGGGAAGACTTGTTATCCAGGTTCAGTTTGGTATGTTGTGGTCTAATGTCAGTTCTTATACAGACAAGAATGTCATCGGGGTCCTGATATTTATGCTTCTGTAGATACGAACGAATTGCACCAGCAACACAGGAAAGAAGAACAGTCTCCACTAAATCAGAAAACAAGATCCTTAATCACAACTGTAATTCAATAGACCAATTTTTTTCAAAATATTTAACCACAATTGCTCTTAGGCTTGGGAAAATTAAACAAAATAAATATACAGTAAAAAACCCGCATAAAAGAACAAGTGGATTAAGAACACTCAGGCTGAGATTTGGTTAAAAAAGTAGCATATTCATAAGAACTTGTTCAGCCTGAAAAATGAAAATTGTTCTTAATATATATAAAAAAAAAATTGGCTGCCAGTTAGATTAGAATAACCTACTAGGGTACAGTACTAAGTAGATCAATAGTTACATAGAAAGAGGGAGGGGGAGCTGGTGCATTTTGAATTTGCTGACTTTTGCTGAGTTTCGAGTCGTTTATCACCAGAACTGCTACCCCTCCCCCAATGTAATATTATTGCCTTGATTGATGCAGTTAAGGTTATTTCCATTCATTAACTATAATCATTATACATCACACTCACTATGAAAAATCTGATTGGTCGAGAGCATTCAATCAATTCACAATAGCTTGTGAACTTGACATGATAAATGCAATATCTGCTGCAGATATTGCATTTATCATGTCAAGTTCAACGCCTGCCTGGTTACCAAGCCCCTCGGAGTGTTCTCCTCAGAAACAGAATGGCTGGACGCTTCCCTTCTGTTTCTGAGGATGAATTATGTCGAAAAATGTATAATAAAACAATTATTGAATTTGGTTTTTGCATGATATCATGAATTATTAAAACCTCGTGTCTGTGTTATCTGCCGAAGCCGAAGGCTTGTACATGATATCATGCTCAACCTCATCCAATAATTGCTTATTAAAACGTTGTGCTTGCACATTAAATGATTTCATCTGTTGGTATGTCTATGCAGTATTTGATTTAGAAACAATTTTAAGACCACCTTAAAGAGCATGAACAAAATCAGCCTGAAGCCCCAAAACAAGTGTTCTTTTATGCGAGTTTTTACTGTATTGTTCCCGGTGACTCTCAAGGTAATTTCTTCTATCTTATTCCCCCAAGCCTCACAGCCAAGTCTGAATTTTAATACATCATAATAGTACAGAACTAACTCAACTTTTTTTAATATAACTTTCTCTTTTCACGAGCCAGAACGCCCCCCCCCTGCCCCCAGGCTGTCACTAAACAAAGTAAAATATTAAATTAGTTTCCACAACAAGTGAGTAACATCAAATAACTCCATATATACATTGCAAGTGACTGGTACTATTACGAACATGATTAAAAACATAAATTCATTGATGTAAGAACACAAACATGAACACAACACAGTGTTGACTTTTACACACCCTGCCAGTGGAGCCTTCGTCCCCCCTCACTCAATTTTGGCACAGACGAGAGACAGCATGAATCAATTAAATCCTTTGTTAACTAGGCACTGCATGTCGCTCTTATACAGATTCAAACCCAAGCCTAATACTTTAAACTTGGTGCAGCAGGCTCAGCTATGACTATCGGATTATTAATAAACAGATGGCCTCTGCACTTGAAAAACCAGTTTGATGAGAGAAAACAAGATCGACAATTCCAGAATTTCAGTATGCAGTGACTTCAAAGGCTTGACATGATTCAGGCAGAACCTCCTTTTCTTCTCTTTGATCAAGAAGAAGACAAAAGGAGGCTCTGCTCACAGGGTGACTTTTACAGTGATAAAACAGTAAAGCAAACTATATATTTGCATTTATTAAAAACTGAGTCATTGGATAAGGCAATTCTAGAGTTCTGATTAGATTATTCTAGAGTTCTTACATGAGCCAATATACCATGCTCTCAAAAAATGGTAACTGCACGCATCTGCTCAAAATTAAAGACAAGCTGAAAATCAGCTGTTTTTACAAATAAGGTGGAAAAGAATTCTCCACATTTTGTAGGCATCTTTAATAAAACAATATTATTCCACTCGTGCTTGCTGGATAGGAGGTGATTATAGCCAACTCAGTGCTAAACACCTCATTGGCTATCTACCATCTCATATCCAGTAGACAATCATGGAATAATTATTGTTAATTATTGTATGTAGGTAGTTATTGGTATTTTTTATCCTGCATGAACACAAAAAAAGAGAAACTAATTAAATTCTACAACTGGATGACTATAAGCCCAAAATAGTTACCTATAGGAAAGTGAATATAAGAATTTCATCATATATTTGAACTTAGTGGGGGAAAGATCATCACAAGAAATGAAAGACGAAACATCATCACAGTTACCAGTATGTGTAAAACACAACTTAGGCAGTTAAATTACTACCCCTTACCCCTAATGAACCTTCACATGTATGGGAGAAAAAGCTACCTGAAAAACAACACTTTCTTCATCCTCTCTTATGGAAATCACTTAGCTAACCCTATATATCACAAGGTTTTTAAAAGTTTTGTCTTACAATTTTAAAAAACTAAAACAGGGCTGTGCTCTAGAAGAGCCCAGTTTACCTAAGAACAGCAGAAAATTTAAAAAACTGTAACTTTGGTATGAAACATCTGTGCGGGAAAACATGAATTTCATAGTTTCAGAACTCTGGGCTTCCCTGCATCACGTTACAGCCCAGCCTGGCTAAAAAACTGCTATGTTCCAAGAAAATGTGAAACTAGCATTCTACCCCTACACCCATCCCCATTAAGGACCCTGGGGGAGGGACTTGTATATGAAAGAGACAGGGATACTCATGATTCACTGTCTCGCTTGGAGGGGGGGCAAATTGCTTATTTAGGTCTTCTTTAGGGTGTTTAGTGCAATGAACTATGTGCAAAGAAATATCTATATACAAGATCAATGTTATAGTGCTGTGTTGGTGTAATATCTTCTTTATATGTCCAAAACTAAAGGCACTTCTCAGCGGCAAGGGTACCTAGGGCATTTGTACAATGGCATATTCAAATCCCTCACCAAAGAACAACATTGCTACACAAAAAGCTACCATCACCCTCCCCCTGGAGCAACAATTCGTTTAGATGAAGCCTTTAGTGGCAATAAACGTGCAGTATTTCCCAATTGTAAATTTCTGATAAGTTGCAAGAAGAAAGTGAAGCAAAAGCGAATGCCGTGAAATTATTTTTGTAAAAACGAATTAATAAGATGCAAGTGACACATTTTCATCCACTTGTTAGTAAGCAATGTGTAAACTCAGACCCACAGTCTTCTGTGGGGATTCCCACCATGGTCTATTCTCTCTCCCAGTCCTTCTTCACAAGGTACTGTGCATTACAAATCCCACAGATCTTTCCTTGGGGGGTCCTGCTACAAAAGTGCAAAAGCAATCTGACCCCAATGCCCATCTGGTGTTAAAAAATTATGGCCATTTAATGTTAACAAATTCTGTGCCATGCCCAAGTATGTCCTAGGGGTCAACACTACAGGATGGCCATCCACAACTGCATAAGCCTTCAACTATAACAAGATTGGTCTCCTTTTGGGGTTTGATTCTACTTTTCAGATGAGCACACCTGTCCCATTCATATCAGAGTTTCGCCCAGGGTAAGCAACGTGACAAGAAGTCCACACTGTGTATGTACAGTACTGTAATTATACTGAGAGAAATATAGAATGAAATAGATAAATATTGAACCAAACACCAACAAAGCACACTGACAGAATTCTTACCTTTTGTGCGAGTAATATCCTTTATCCGCTTGACAGATTTAAAATCTACAGCTCGAGACCAGGACACGTGAAAAGAATCACTGGCCTCTTGGCTTGGTGTCAAGGAAAAATCTCTTTGTTTCTTCATAAGAAGTCTTTTAAGAATCACAAAAGGTCCCCTGTAGCAGGCACAAAAGTAAGTAGCTAGTCGTCCCAAAAGAAAACAATGTTTCTTGAGATAAATCGTCTTGTAATCAAGGGATTCTAAAACAACCTTCGAGCTAGGAAAGATGTCAGCGAGGCTCTCATGAATTTGAAAGAGTACCCCTGTATCTCCTTCATCAAAGTTTGGGAACACTAGAATTCTCCATAATTTTTCAAGATTGCAGGTGTCTAGCACCTCCGAAATTCCTGTTAAATCGACAGGCATCAATGAAGATTTCTCTTTTCTTTCAAGAATATAGCCGCTGATATTTAAATTGCTAATTTCCTTCCATCCATACCCGCTGATTATCCGAACAGGAACGTGCTTGAATTTACCCAATGGCAAATTATTACTTCGCAGTGGCCCTTGAAGAAGCAATTTCTCTAAAATAAAATTTTGAATTTCATCCACAGATATAACACCCTCAAAGGTAAAGAAAATATTCGATACCGCTGTAGTATTTTTCGTACTTGCCAAGTTGACGAGCCACATTGCGTCCGAGGAGGACATTGTCCTCAACATCCCATCTCGGTCGTTCCGAAGGCTACAAATCAGAAGGGTTTTCCTCACACAGTAACACACAGGAACCACAAGAATTGCCACACAAATAAACAAAGTGAAAAGGATCGTGTTAATAACGCAGTGCGCCGTGAAGAGAAATACCCTTAACAGGAAAATGCTCTCGCTAGGGTGAGTCAGCCTTTTGCTTTTCACGCTCTTTGAACGATTATTGTTTTCAGCCAGTATTTCAATTGGAGATGTCTGATTTAAACGTAGACTGTTTCGTGGAGATGCCCAGCATCCATCGTTTGTTGAGCGCATACTCTCTGTAACATCAAGACACGAAGATGCAGCCATTGATGACAACGTGGGATCCTCTCGCCCTCGCTGTTTGGTCCTCATAAGTGGCCATATTTGATCGGTATTCTTCGCTAATATCTTGTCAGTACAAATTGGTAATCAAACCACAGCGAGAAATAGCGAAATAAGGTAAAAATGATCATTCTCTACCCTTCCTCCTAGCTTTAACCCTTCAATAGTCGATATTACGGAATACTATTGCCTTTCGTTTCTCGGGAAACGTCGCCATGTTTGTTTTTCTTCCGCATCCTAAAAGAATGAAAACGATTGGTTGACTTCCTAAAACAAGGGCTTTCATTGGCCAGTGATTTTATCAAACAGCCGGCGCGAAAAAAAACGAGAAAATAATCACGAAGAGGTGAAATAAATTAACGAGTCCGAAACTTTCATTTATTTTATTGAACTGGTGACAAGTTGACGTGACAGAAAGTGTCTTCATTTTACTAATGCTCACGTTGGACTGTTTTCCCAAGGAAATGGATTGATTGATACATTCAAAAATTTGAAATGAAACAGCAAATATTAGAACATTCACCAGACTGCGTCGTTAAGAATTAAAGGTATCATTTTGTTATTGTTTTTTTTTCTTTGTTCGCTATCTTCCCTTTATCAAGAAAACGGAATGATCAATAAATGTTCAACTAAGAGATTGGGCTCGCCCTACTGGCAGTTGGAAAACAAAATAATTTCTGCATATTTTTAGCATTATAATAGTACGTTGGAACAATTCTCAGCTTGAGCTTTGAATTGTTAATTTTTTTAGGTAGATTTGTAAACGCTAAAATATATATATATGACCTGAAACCATACGTTCATCACATTTGTGAAATGATCTTTTAAGTGATGTCGTAAAAGCATTAAATTTAGAGCAAGATATTGAAGCTTTGTAATGCATGTAAAAAGATTGACAACAGAAACGCAAATTATCTTCTTTTAAACCTGCATTATTTATAAGAACTAATACTCATCTTCAGTACTCCGGTCCAAAAAAGCTTTTACACTTCACGGTGAATGCTTAATTAAGATTTCACAATCAATATTTGCATTTATTTTTTCTGCCTGAAAGCTACAAAGCTGGTGTATAAATTGTTTTTGAAATGAAGGAGAGAATCATGGGAATTACAGTGGAATCCCCGCTGTTTAGGAAAAAATAAATTTTAAAAGCAGCTGCGGGGAAAAATATTCTATCCTGATATTTCCTGTATTTCCTAAACCTTTGGGGAAGACACGGGTATATTTTGTCATGTTGATGCGTCGAAAATCTCCAGAGTGATTTGATCAGTGTAATTGCTTTGGGAAGAAAAGTACAATTCTCACCAAACGATTGCCAAACTAAATGATCATTCCCATAATGTGCAGCTTATAAACCACCGTAATAGCTTTCTAAGGTGCCCTGAATGTTAGACGTTGATTGCTTTCATGGGTTAACGGTTTTTTATTACACTTCTGTTCAAGAACGGCATAAATGTTCCTGCGAATAAAAACTAAATCTCATGTGGACCCATGTGTTCTGACTTGTGCAAACTTAGTATTCATATTGTGAAGTGCCTAAAAATAAATCGTTAAAATTATTATTATTATCATTATCTTGTTGTTGTTGTTGTTATAAACAATCTTATTTTAATTATTCGTCAGTTACGCATTTCCCATAACACAATTTTTCCCCAAAACAATCTGGCTTTGTCTTGTTTTAAATTTCTTTTTGGTACAGTATATGTTGTCCGGTATTAGGACACTTCAGTTTAACATTGCAATAACTTTCCTTTGTTAGTCGCAGGAGCTCTGAAATTTGGCCCAGAGAAAATCTATTTAGTCCTTAATATGACAAAAGACAGTTTAACTTTTTTGCCTTTGTTTCCATTGCTAAATTAATATTTTTGCAGAGCTCCTATGTTGCCTTGTATCCGGACAGCTGGCCCAGTATCCGGACACAACACTAACGTAATTGTACATAAATTTCGACAGGCAAGCGACTAATAAGCTTCTCTTGCACTTGCAAAGTAGTCTGGCAATCGATTCCAAAAACATAACCTAGCATCGTGAAATAAAACATAGCAAATGACTGGGGTGTGGTGAGGAACGCGAGCGGTTGTTAAATGGCACACAATACTTACTTCCTTGTCTAGGAACTTTTTCACTGAATTAAGGAAGGCATCCGTGGACATGCCGAAGCCGCGGTTTGCTAGCTCAATTAGCCAATCTGCAAACGACTTTTTTTCTTCATTTTTTGTTTTAAAAAAAAAGCTTCGGGAAGGGACCTCAATGCGACGGTCAAAGGTCACTCTCCCATTTAGTCTGACCTGCAGTGTTGATTTCTTCATGCTCACTCCCTACAGACCCTGATAAGCCTGCTTTTCTAGCACTAGTTCCTCCTTCTTTCACATCTCTTAATCCCTTTGTGACATTTTTCAGACCGTTGCAACCCCATTCTAGCAGTCCCAACTAGGGAAAGTATGAGAATTCCAGGTTCAACTCCGACGCTTTCGATTAGGGACCGGTCATAACGTACAGCGGGGGTGGGCTATGAAAAATTGAGGGTGGGTCACTATTTTTTAACAAGTTAAAAAGGGTGGGTTAGGAAAAATAATGCACTGCATTAAGAGTGGGTCATGTTAAATTATTTACATATCACTGTAAGCGTTAGTAAAATCTTTTTTTTAACAATAAATCTAATTTTCCACATTAATCCAACTTTATATAACAACAGGAATTCACATATTAAATATTTTGTTTCTATTTATGTACAGTCTTTAAATCTGAAGAGTAGTCACGCGGGAAACTTTTTTGTAATATAAAATCTAGAAAAAAGCTTTACTGTGTGTTCATAAACCTAACTTATGTTAACATCTTTTTTAATATCTTCTTCTAATCATCTTCAGTCATCTTCACCATTACCATCACCCTCAGAAGCATTACCATCCTCCTCCTCCTCGTCCTCCTTCTCGTTCTCATTATCATCATCATCATCATCACTACCATCTATAGCACTCAATACAACTGGTGATACGTTTGCTCTGATTGTTTCAATAGCATCCACTGTAAATTTACCTTTACTTATTAATAGTTTTAACCACCTACCATCTCTCTTTGTTAAGCTGTTAAGACCTATCACACTTCAATGATCGGAGGTTATAACTTCACCATAAGATGATGAGTGATTGATTCCGAAGAACACTCTCTCACAATTTTTCTCTGCTCTTTCACAGCGTCGCTTCCTAGCTTTTGCTTTATTTTCTTTCACTCTTCTCTTTTTCGAGACGAATGTTTCTTTTGCAAAAGGATACATTCTCTTGTGTTTTCTTTTTAAGCCTCTGCCCTCATCAAAGTCTGGTCAATGTTACTTTGCAATTCTGTAATCATTCCCAAGCATTTTTCATTGAAGCGTTGCCCACACTCTTGCCCACTGATGATTTTCCCAGACTTTTTAGTGAACCGCTGGGCATTCTCTTTCTGGATACTACTCTTCAGCTTCTCAGATTTCTCTTTCAAATCCCGAAGTTTTTTAATCTTGTGATTAATTGCTTAGCGGTCAGTAGGCTTTAAGGTTCCTCATCTGAATTGCCTTCTGGGACTGCTGCTTGCAATGACATAGCTGACAGCTGGCAGTGAAGGTGGTAAGTGGTAAGCCAATGTTCCCTAATGTACCTATCCACATCAGCGTTCTGGTTTTGGTTGCTTCGGGGGTGGGTCACTAGTTTTTCTGTACCACTCCAGGGGTGGGCCGCCCCAATTTTGTCAAGTAACTCGGGGGTGGGCCACTGAAAACCAGTACTTAAAAAAAAATCATAGCCCACCCCCCTGTACTTTATGACCGGTCCCTTATATATAGAAAATGCAGTCACGCGAAACAAGCGGCGCTAGCGAAATCAAGCCGCCTCCGAATGAGTGAAGAAAATTTCCGTACGGAGTTGAGTAGAATTACATTTTACGACTATATCATATATCTTAAGCTTTAATTATAGTTACAGATATGAAATAAATCGTACCCGGATAATGTACACAGCTAATTCATCGATTCTGTACAGCAAAGAAAAAAAAACTGTCCGGATATTGGGCACCTGACATCAATACTTAGTGAATGTTTCTGGGCTCCGTTATTCCAAACAAATCGAATTTCAAGAAGAATTGATAAACTTTCTGAGAACCTGACTTCTTTAAGTATCTTCGCTTTAAATATAAAACAGTTTCTTTGAAAAAATATCGCATATTACCTACCCTTTTCTGAGCAGCACTAATTTTACTGCGCAGTAAACAGCGTAAATATTAGCCATGAAATGTTTATTCACCTGACTCGCCGAGAACGGCGTCTTCTGCGACTGTTTCGCAGGCTTTCAACTCGCCCTTAAAGCTGAAATGTTCAGCTTTCATTCGAAATACTTCGTTTACCGATAGCTGAAAAGGGCGCCTCAAAAACTGAGTTTTTGTTTTAAGTGTCCGGATACTGGTACCGTCCGGATACTAGGCAACTGTATTTCAGTCGTCCCAAAGAACTTAAAAGCCAAAGTTTATGCAAAATTAGGCGGGGGGAGGTTAATTAAATCCGTGGAGCATAAAGGCCGATGGGTAATTATCCAATAACGTCCCAAGCACGTGAGGTTAATTAGTGGTTTATTATATGGCATCGTTTTATTCAAGGGGCAGTAGTCTAGTCTAGTCTAATTGTAGTCTCGCTTGTGAGTCAACTTCTGGTGCGATACCAGGAAATTTCCCGTTTTTGATGACGCGAGCAGCAAAACAAATCATTAGACCTAAAAAAAGTTGGCTATGTACAGATTTACAACAAGATGGTACCTCGGGCAAATCTTTCAGCGTTCGCTTTTAATACGTCCGCACCATACTATCTGAGATTCTGGCACAGGCTAACGGAAAATATGATGCAAGGACAAAGACCACCCAACAATTTTTAGAATTTGAGTTGATTGCTATCGATGACTTGCTTGACTCCTCTTGAACTCCAATCGCCTGCCTGAGCAATTACTTGAGCATTGGGGTAGCTTAGCTCTTGGACCTAGCTAATTTTAAATGAAATTCAGCTAGACCTTTGATGCATTTGCGGTTGAGTCCATTTACTACAAAAAATGACGATCAGCGCAGGACCTCTAATCTTTCTGATCATTCAGTAAGAACGTCTCTTTAAAGAAACTATAAACTTTCAAAATGAAAATTGTTCATTCGAATCTATTTACTTTGGCTCTCATTATTATATTAAAAAATGTCTAATGTTTAAAATACTCCAGCGAGCTGCTGTTGATTCCTATTGTGATTATATGTTGTATTTATTTAGTCCCTTAGTGGTCATCAGGGTGCTCTTACGGGCCGGCGTGGAGGAAAACGATTATGTCCATCATGCTGCTCACCTCCGCTCACCTTGAGGGGTAATATCCACGGCCGTTCGCACGTTTCAGTGTGATTTATCATGTGTGGCGAAAAGGGCACTATCAGTGTGGTACATCACAGTCACAGAGGCTACAAAAGTTCATTGCGATCGTGTTTGCGATCGTGTTTGATTAAATCCTCTCATAGTCAGTTCCAATGTTCAAAAGCTCTTGGAATAAATTGCCTCTGACATTAGGAAGGGAGTCACGATCAGTTGCCATCACTATACCAGCTTCTCCATGACAAAGGTTCTACATTTTCTTTACCGTCGATGTCTTTTTTCTCTCTACTTGCTTTGTGGGCTTGGCTTTAGGCCTTTGGCTTTGGGTGGTGATGGGTTGTAGCTTTCGGGGAGAGGGCCTTGGGTGAATGTTAGAATTCGGCGAACCGCTGAAACCTAGACACACAACAAAGCCATTAATTTTCTTTCTCTGTATTTTTTGGGCGCAGGGCCGTGGTTGGTTTGTCGTTGTTGTGTTGTGTTGTGTTTTGTTTTAGTTTTTTACTGAATGCAAACTTGCACTAGAGAAGACCATTTTACTCATCATGAGTATTTAAAGTTGATAAACATAAGGAAAGGCTGTTTAAGAAATTATAAATTGTCTTGGCATATGTATCTGTCGAATGCACTCCTGGGAGAAAAAGGTGAATCTATTAAAAGGACAACCCCCAGAGTCTCAGGACTCTAATTAGCTCCTATGATCCCAATTGACCACTACAGAAAATACCATAACATACCATAATGCTCTTTGTTTGTCACCCCCAAAAGCATTGTCTTCGAATTCAGTTTCTCTTAGGAGTAAAATGGCCCCAAGAGCAACTGAAAGGCAATGCTTAAGCAAAAGTGTGGGATGACAAAAAAAAATAGCATTATGGTATGTTACGGTATTTTGTTGAGGTCTCAAATGTAATAGATGTCCCTAAATGTAATAAAGGTCCTAAGTGTAATAACTTTTGACCCTAAATGTAGGAAATTTTGGCCCTAAATGAAATAAAGGTCCCAAATGTACATAAGCTTGGTTAGTATGGTAACTACGCTTGTGTGTGCAAAATACACTTCAAATGGAGATATGTACTTTGGTACTTCTTTTTGGTTCCTCGTTTAAAATCCTCTGGTTTTCAGCCAGCCCTTTCGCCTAATAAAGACCTTTCTTCCCGCCAGTTTTAAAGAATCACACTATGGAACTCATAGCACGAACATGAGCGCAATGACTTATATTTTCCAAGGGACTGGGGATGGTCTGGGCGGCTGTGTAGCAATTTTACTCGCAATTTACGAAAACGTTCTTGCAGAGCTCCTTTAAATTCAGAACCTTTGTCACTTTGCAGTACAAGATCAGAAGGGGTCCATTTTCTATGTGTAATCCTTTAACTCAACCGCAACTGCTTTGCTATTTTTACTTTAAACACTTCAAAGACAAATGAACCTACTGAAAACATTCATAACGGACAATAGATATTGATAAACAATCCTTGATCTGAAATTTAATCCTTCCACGCTTTCCAAGATCCAACAGATCTACTTGGTGTCTGACTTGCAAAAAAGTTTAGTGTTTCACACTACTTCTTACGTGGTTAGTTTTCATTCTTTTCCTACTATCAGGCTGGGATTTAACAAGGCCGCGCACTGTTGGGTTTGTTTAGAAGTCTGATCTGGTTTCAGAGAAATTTTACCAAGACTATCATGATCATTTAAGAATTTGTTGTTTGCTGCTTTTCGTTTAATCCACCATATTCAATTTGCCCAATTAAGTAATACTACATATTGTTTACCTTAAACATTTTATGCCTAAGCCTTGTTCTCAGTTTTCCTTGGGAAACCTGTAATACCCATGAAAAACTGGAAACACTGGTTATGCAAAACACGGTGCATTATGGGCAATGTGAAATTCTTAAATGTCTATAAAGACTTCAGTATGGCATAGAAAGTAAATCGCCTGGCTATGACATTAAAGTCACTGCGACCTTATCAAGTTTACGGCCAATAGTTATTCTACTACTGTTAAGATTTTATTACATTTAGGGCCAAAACGTATTACACTTAGGACCTTTATTACATTTAGGGCCAAAGGTTATTACATGTAGGGCCAAAATTTATTACATTTAGGACCTTTATTACATTTAGTGTCATTAATTACATTTGAGGCCTCAACAATTTTCTCTAGTGGTCAATATGATGATGGTGGCAGATCACAAAAATAGATGGGAATAGAACGAAATTAAAGCATCTTGTGTAAACATCAAAGCAAATATGATATTCCAGCAGCGAAATTAAAAAAAGAACATGCTTATCCTTTGAGATTTTAATAATGGCTTTTACTATAATTGCGTCAAAGTGTGGGAATTTTCATGAAAATTCGTAGATGTTTTCACTTAAGTGAATAACGATTTATTATATAGTAACAAAATGAAGAAAATGACAACGTTTATTTATGGTATAATTTGCTGTCACAGTGTCGCGTTAGAAAAGACACGATCCAGTATATGTAAATTATATAATTTTAAAAATAGGTTAAGAAAACAAGCAATAAGAGGTTGGACTGAGCAGAAAACGCTAAAATGACAAGATATGCATGCACTGGCGCCGCGGGGGCAAGAAACGAAATTAATATCATCGCCATGAAATCTAGAATTCACGCAGATCGCCACAAAACAGATACCCGTATTTTGTACGTGCTTAGTTATACAAAAATGTTTATGTCATCTCGTCTTTGAATTACTCTATGTTTTTAGTTTTGTTTATTATTTTTGCTTTTTATTCATGGGGGAGGGCATGATTTCTCAGCAGGTCTCACAGGTTTTAGAAGATAATTAGCAATCATTGATTGAATGTGGCTGACTAGGATATGATGATCATCGCATTATTTTTCTTTTCTTTTTCATGCTTTCTTTTTACAACTGCAAAAGTTGCGTATATTACTGCAATGATCACCCTTCATTTAATTCTTCACTCTGCAGTTCACATATATGATTTTCATATATTCTCAACTTTAAGGAAAACTACGTTGTGTACATTGCATGAGGTGTCCGAAGGGGCTACGGTCGATGGTATCTAATGATGTAACTATGATGGTAACGGCCACAGCAACGTCTAAAAAAATAGGTTTTATGAGCAAAATAACAACTCTTTCTTGTACAGTGCTTTGCCATCCAGGTACAACTGCGAGGTGGAATGATCAAATTTTTAGTTGACGGGAATGGAAGGCGATAATTTTTACTATCTCTTTCTGAACTTCAACGTGCCAGTTCTCTCTCCTCAGTTTCAACCTAGCTTCCCTGCTTACAGCTAACTGGGTGACTTGGTATAAAGGCGAAAAAGTTTCAAAGGACGCAAAGTCTATTTTTCAGCGATGTTTTCATATGCATCGCGGGCCGTTGTCGTATCTTAACGTCCCTAATATTTAGCTGTGGAGGATTTTTTATTTACAATTTAAAATCGTAAATAATTATTTACCTGTTTCAGGAACTTTATCCTTTATCTGTAACTGCGTCTTTTTCTTATCCTGATGGAGCGAAACGTGCAACTGCTGACCACTAGGTGAAGGAGAACGGGGTCGTTTTTCTTTTGGCAAAGTCACGGTAGGTTTCCGCGCGGGCGTTTTAACAGTCCAGGGTCCCTGCATTTCTAACCTTGCACGAGGTTCACGCGACAGATTTGATAAAGTGTTCTTGTTTGGCTGGGAAATGGGAGCAAGCTTTTTAACTGATACAGTCCTGCTGGGTTTATCCACTAAGTTAGCCTTGTCTGTTTCCTTTCTTTCGCCAAATTTAACCAAAGTTACTCCGTTTTCTTTGTTCTTGGGCTTGGTTTTGTTGGCCATAGAAGAAGCGGCTAATCTAGCTCCTGCCACGCTCTGAACTGTCGTCACTTGTTCTTCTGGTTTGGCGTCTTTTTCTTTGTTCTCAGGTCCAGCTTTACCTTTTCCTTTTCCTTTCTTCTTTTCTTTTTCCTGAAGTAAACAGAAAAAAAGACTGTTCGTTTTTAAATCAAATTTTGCTGTTTTACAGCTGAAGCTAATGCGGCGATGTTGGTTAACAAGAACCCGTTTCCCACCGTTAGAAGTTGAACTCATGCTTCATACAAATTGTTTGTAAATTTTATATTGTTTCGTTAGCTACCATGGCCTCCTTGTCAAGTGGTTGCGAACCAAGAATAACGTAGCCCTCCCGCCCCCGCCCCCCGTCCTCCCTCTCCTCCCCTCTCCTCCTGGTATAGGCCCATGTTGATATATTTGTTTTATTTATCTGTTAGGCCCACCTACCTGTAAACAAGAAAATAAGCCCCCCCCCCCCCTTCCCCCGGATAATAATAAAGGCGCTGCAATTTTTGTTCAGAACGTTCGGCTGTACAAACACAGGTTGTCAGTTGTGCTTAAGTATGAAAACCTTATAGTTACCTCTTCTTCTTCAATCTCGATAGCTTCGTGTTCATCAAAAGGCGTCACAGAGGATTCTTTCCACTCCCAAACGGTGACAAGAAGTTGGCGAACTTGAGGATTTAAGACCACATAGAACAGAAAGAAAGCAAAGCCCTGCGAGTTTAACAATAGATAGTAAGTTTATATTCTAGCTTTCAAGCCTATATGGCTCAGAACCAAGTGGGGACAATGTAAGAGTTCATAGGGGGACTACTACTCCTGATACGAACAGATATCAGGAATTAGACTGGAGTTACCCTCCGAGTCCTCTAAAATGCTAACTACAGCTCTCGTTGAAGAGTCAGTATCTCTGCTACTTATCTAGAGTTAAAATAGTTTTTTACTCTCTTTTGACATTTCTTAAGAGTCGTTCTCTCCCTCCTGACTTAACATTCATTTTCTATTACCAACAATAAAAATTCAGTATCATGATGTATAATCTAAACTGTGGAAACTTTTACTTTAATTAATTTTTTAGGTCAAATAGCCCTAGCCAACAGCGAATATTTCCTGGCAATTCTGTGACTGTTTGGTAGAGAAAAAAAAGCATATCATCCAGGTACCTTTGTGTTGAATGGCACAAGACCGAGTGAAAATTTACCTGAAGGGCATTGAATATAGTGAAGAACACGTGGTAGACATCTTTGTCTATGTTCAGAGACAGTGATCCTAGAAGCCACGTCACAATCACAGTGATTGTTATGCAAACTACTGTTTTCAAGCCGGACCTGTTAAAGTTATTTAATTCACCGTTAGTCACTTAAAAATTCTGCAAATGAGGTTAAGCATTGTTTAATAGTATATAGGATGAGGGCGCGAAGCGAGAACCCGCTGCGGACGTTTTTAACTTTCATACGCGCGCTCGATGCTGTTCAAAGAGACCGTATAAACAGACTACGCTGAAACCTTCTTTGAGGTTGACATGCACATGAAATAAGAGGCAGAGCTACTCAACTACTGGACAGTTGTGGTCATGTGGTCTGCTCTTACTTTAATTTCATCCTGAGTTTACTGCTCAACGACATTGTGCGCCCCTTGTATATCCCGTGTTCTGACAGGCCTTAGACTTAAGTGAAAACATTTCAATTTTCATGAAAATTCCCACACTTTGACGCAATTATAGTAAAAGCTATAATTAAAATCTCGAAGGATAAGCATGTTCTTTTTTAATTTCGCTGCTGGAATATCATATTTGCTTTGATGTTTACACAAGATGCTTTAATTTCGTTCTATTCCCATCTATTTTTGTGATCTGCTACCATCATCATATTGACCACTACAGAAAATACCGTAACATACCATAATGCTATTTTTTTGTCATCCCACACTTTTGCTTAAGATTCATCTTCATGTCACCTAACACAGGTTTTAGACTCACCGATTATATCATGAGTGGCGTAATTGATAGACTCACCTTTGTAACTAAGAGTCAACTAAAAATGGGTGTTTCCCCCCCGATGTTTCACTGTTGTGTAAGGGACCCACCTGAGCTTTCTGTTGGGGCAGGGTGTGTGTAACTGGACTTAAAATTAAAGGCCTGACCAGTGAAACTGATTTCCAACTGTGAATATCGTTTTTATAAAATCATAGTTTAGTATGTCTTACTTGACAACATTTTTCTTGTCTTCATGTTCATTCGCGTCACCAGACTTGCGAAAAGTAACCAAAGCTTTTACCAATAAAATAACAAGAACGAACTGAACCTGAAAAAAAAGGAGGCGGTTTTGATGATCACTTTCTTGGTATGCTTAACTTTGCCATTTGCTTTAGAGCTATGTATATTTCTTAACTTATGGCAGTGCAATGTTATTAGTTCTATCAGCGCAATACTGCAATAAAATATACAAAGAAGTGAGAAAAAACTGTGGTTGCAGTAGAAATAACATATTACACTGCAGATCTTATTTAAGAGAAAACACTAGTCTAAAAATAAAGGATTTCTAGTTTATCATGATCAAGTGTTCTGAAATGTCCGACGTGTTGCGCAGTAACACCGTCAGTATTCAGTACCAAGTATGAAAAATTAACTGATGTCATCTTAAGTTCTGTCAATTGAGGTATAAATAGTAACAGTTACTCATTTGGGCTGTCGTTTAAAGAGCTCATTAATTCTTACTCGACTCGGTCATAATGGGCAACGGTCCTTTGGTTGTATAAGGGCCTGATGACGGCTATGCCATCAGCTTATAAGCCCAAACTGCTGTTCATGGCTACCACCGCCCGGGCGTTAGGTTGTGCGAATGCGTAAGGTACTGGCTACACCGCGAGGTTGTGTGTTGTGACTATTGCATATTTGGATAGGTCAGTTAAAATATTTATAGATAAACTCACCAATCCCAATGTAATCATGGGTGTGGCTACTGACCAGCTCAACGCATCACTGAATGAGATCCAACAACTTCAAGAGAAAAAAACGATTGTTTTCTCTTGAGGAAATTTAAATACTGATAAATAATTCAACAGTGTACTAAGTAAGATGCCTACGTTGATAGATTACTTACTGTGGATGTTTATTGTATGATTCGTACTTGGACGCAAGGATCACAACAGCAAATAAGGGCAAACCTGCCGAGAAAACCAAAGTCGATCATTGGTAAGCGAAGTGTTTAGGCTATGAAAGGGATGTGAAGAGAAGCTTCATTGTTTGTCGTGTCTTGCAACTGACGCTGGTAAGCTTTAGCCAGACGCGGTCCTCGTGAATACAAAACTCTACTACTGCCATGTTTTCTTAACTAATAGGATAAATGGGTCGCATTAACTTTGATTTACTTGAAATGAATTCACCACTTTATAAACGAGAAGTTGACCGGCGCCGAAAAGTGTCCCGCAATTGTCTCTGAGATCGTTCCTCAGGTCGCATGGGTCAGCGATTGGCCAATCTTTTTCCACGTCCTTGGTAAAAGTCCCAGAAGTCTTTGCGAAAGTTAATTCGGTCTAGTCTCAATCTCATTTCTTAAGTGGTGAATTAAAATAATACTTGCCCCATGCGCCTGCGTAATAGAGATTAATTTTCAGCCTCTGTTTGGTTTCACTTTCTCTACTTCTCGTGAAGGAAAAAAGATACATGGCCTGTACAATAAGCCAAGTAACCGTTACAAGAGAAAGGTAATTCATGGCAATAGCCACAACAGCACAGGCAATCTGAGGGAAACAAAATGAGAGAATGAATACGACGGTGGTTAAGTGTTATAGATCATTTGATCTTACATTTCGTTATTATCCATTCAAAATATTTCTCCGTTTCTGACTTGCTCCGTCAAAAGCCCTTGGCTAATTCTTCCCAATTAGGTAGTGTTCATCAAATTTGGAAGAAGTTTCCGATATCCGATAAAATGACGTTAATAGTACAGGCTATACCCAGAAAGGGGGATGGGAACCAGGGAGGACAAGGTCTGCATAAGCTCAGTTGTTTAGGAGAGCTAGGGAAAATGGCGACAAGGCAACAGCATACTGCCAGTACTACAACATCAAGTATCAGACAAGTATTACTAGGGAGCTTAAGCAACAACGACGGCGACGGCTACAAAAACGTCACTTAAAAAGTGAATTTGCGCTGCTTCAAACTTTATCGCGTTTATTCCATCTCGTTTACTTCGTCAAATGTTGGCAAATGTTTTTGGAGTTGAATTCTAAAGGACTGTATCAAAGTTCAGGAAAAGAAAAGAAAGTTGTTGTCTTGTGTTCCCGTCCTCGACAAAACGTGAAATCGGGCAATGACGGCAAAGAAATGTACAAAAAAAGCGTGATGCACGTGCAAAGTTGTTGTTTTGCTAATCAAACCTATTGCTTTTTTGCCGTTCTCGTTGCCGTCCGCGTCGTCGTTGCTTAAGCTCCCTACTAACACACTAACACGAACGTCAGCAGTCACCAAAAACGAAGTAACTACCATACTCTGGGACAAAGTCCATCCATAAGGAAAAAGAGATCCAGGTAAATACAGTAGATAGAACACGTAAGACAAGGACAAGAGAACCTGTAGGTTCATCGACAAGTCTGTCCACTCAGAAAACAGGACAAAAACTCTCCAAGAGTAAAGACCAATAAATAGGGATAGAGAAAATGTAGGACACGAGAAAAACACTTATATCAGTGGTCACCGGTACAGTCGGGATCCTCGGGAGAAAAAGATGGGTGAAAAAAGTACATCAAGTTTACAAACCCTTAAGGGAGAAACTTTTGGGAGTTTTGAGTTTTAATTGGCCACTAGAGTCATGTAAAAAAAGTAACCATAGAAACGCCTAATCAAGAATATTCCTCTAATCAATTATTGTTGCTTGTTTTTTAAATTTCATTGAAATTCCTTGAAAGGAATGAAAACCACTTTATTGAATTAAAAACCACAGTATTATATATTTATTTACCTGATTATCTCTAGCATCAGCTCCTGCCAGAAACAAGAGCTGGGATAACAAGACACAAAATGCTTGAGTCATCTGCATGTCTCTTTCGAAGCGACGGTCCCTGTGATGTGTGAAAAGAAATCAACTTATTTATTCTTGTCTCCACGTAACCCTGTTTCTATCATTATCATAGCTCCACTGACCACTGTATATAATTTCTCGAACAAGCGACCGCTCGTATGGCAGCTTTGGGAACTTTTCACTGTGGTCGATTAACTGACAGATAGGCAATTACATTTCTTCCACGTTTAAACAAAGTAACATTTTACGCCTAACATTAGTTAATTTATCAGTATTTTCAAGGAGACCCTCAAAAGCACAGTAGAAGCTACCATACTGACGCCTTGTGGATGAAACCTTTACTAATGATTTTCCGTGGTGTATTCCCTAAAATGACCTATACGGGGAGGCTCCGCCCGGTAAGGGTACCTTTTTCACGCTTCATGAAAGGCTAGGGAAATCTGTCACTTCGGCACCTCGGTCAGTGAAAAGGCCCGAAAAGGTTAACAGATCCATTTTATGGTTGTGAAGAAGTCGATGAAACGTTCTGATTTGTGATTTATACATATTTTAAGTAGACATTGTATTTACAGCAGCTTAAAGGGAAGCTATGTGAAAGGGGTGCCGTTTGTTAATAGAAGGTATACGAAATTGGTACCCTGAGTTGAGTACCCTCCAGCGACTGATTTAGATGAAACAACTTCCTAGAGGCTAACCAAACACGTATTCCTTAGTGGTTTCAAGCAGCTGCATTAGATACCAAGGATCGCTCCTTTACCTCATTTCGCAGTGGCCTTTCTCGCTCTTATCTTCTTTATTGTCTGACGGCTTCTCTTTATTTCCCTTCATCAGAATGTAGTATGTAAAACAAGGGAAAAGAACAGCCAAAGCATTGCGCCATGTTAATTTCCTTTTAACCCGTTTAACGAAACTAACTTTTTCTTCTTTATTGTCTTCTTCTTCGGTTATGCTTTTCTCAAGATCAATTCTGTCGGTACTGTTTCCGACTTTCTTTCTTGACTTCTGTGCTTTATTTTGCGAATAAAATGGCTTCCACCTAAAACAGCAAGCTGTTTTTTCATCCGATTCTTCTTTGTTGGGTTGAGGCGTTTTAGGTGTTTCTGGACGTGTCCGAAGCGATACAGACACACTTGTGCTCGTAATCTGTCGCTTGAACTGCGACATCTCCACGCGAGAATTCCGTTTTTCCGCGGAACCAGATGGATTGACTGATGTAGTGGTCTCTTTAATAATTGTATCTTCTCGTTGTAAATCTTGAATCATAGAAGAAACTAGGCTTATGCGAGTGGGACGACGCTTAGTTTCATTTGTATTTGCAATGGTCACTGTTTGTGTAGACGATTTCCTCCCTTGATTTTCAGCAGAAAAAGAGGAAGATCTTGTTTTCTTTATTTGCGTGTTTTCCGTCTCGGCTACGTCAATAGAACAAACCCTTTGTCTCCCTTTTCTCTCTTCAATGGCAATTCTAGAAGGCTCTTCAGATGACATGTGCTCGTATTTTTCAATCAAAGGGGAAAGAGTAGAACTGCGATTTCGCAAATTATCAAATTTCACATCCTTATTAACCTCATCATCCTTTTCGAAACCGCTGTTAACGGTACCATTATTATTCTTTTCTGCATTTTTATTGTTTTTCCTCTTCCTCTTTTTTATTTTGGTTGATCCTTTTAATTGAAAGTCCTTTGCGCACCTGTGATTAAAATACAATAAAAAAAATGATATTCAAATGACCAATCAAGTATTCTACCAATTAATTTAATCCTATATTACGTTTTTTTATTGTTAGTTTACTTGCATAATAATGTCAGTGAGCAATGAGTGAAAGCACTGAGTAACACTATCGCAATGGCGAAAAGGTCTAAGAGCCGTAAATACATAGGCGTGGTTCCTCGAAGGATGGTCAGATAAACGCCAGGGATAAGCCAAAGTTTTTAAACGAGATTTTTTCAAGGAACATGTAATTGAAGCATGTAAGGTATTGCACAGACTTCACTATGAGATGCAGTTATGATAACACAAAATGATAGTTTTAATCAAAATCTATATAAAGGTAAATACAATCGTGCAATAAAATATTAATCCTGGATTAGCGCTAATGAGCCTTTCAAGGACAGGGCACTTGGCGCTTACGTACCTAGCTAGGTCAGAACTGCCCAGTAGACAGGTCATACTGAAAATGAAAAAGGGGTTTTGTCGGAAGTTTTAGCGAAAAACTCATCACTGCCTTCATATTTTCACGCATTGACTGATCTGGCTGGACACTCTCTTTCTGGCTGAATTAGTCTCGACGGCCAGTTCTGACAATGGTAAGTTCCATGAGTCCCTTTGGACCAAGGAATCATCAAGACATTTATAGTTTTCGGTTGCCTCCCTTTTTGCTTATTTCCTTTTGACTTTGTACTGCCATATAGGACCATCAATAAATGTACCATCAATAAATGTTATTATTAGTAATTAAAAATTTTCCCCGTTTCTAACTGACGTAAATCCCACGCATAATTCATCATAACCAGCTATTGTCGACCAAATTTGGAAGGATTTTGCGATATTGAACTGATGACGTCAATCGTGCAGTTGAACTGTTAGCCGAGAAAAACCTGGGAACGAGTTTGAGTTGTTTTGGTAGTGAGAACAAAATGGTCGAACATTTTACTCGTTATACGGCGAACCATTGCCTAAAAACATAGCAAAAACAGCAAGAAGACAACTAGATGGATGACATCTGCTATTTGGGGTATATTTGCAGACTTGAACAGCCCTTTATCTTCTAAACGTCCCGATAAACATGCAAGTACAATATATCGAGATGAACTTAGCATCGACGGAGGTTTTAGCTTGTTTTTAAGCTAGGAATTATTTTGAATGAATAATAAAACAATTATTGAATTCGGCAATCATAACACCCCCCGAGATCTTCATAATTCTTCAGATGATACTCAGCCTCATTCAATAATATTGCTAATACTTACGAGAGGGTAACCACGGAGGCTATCGTGGCTGTTGTGCCAATAGTGGCCACTGCCACTCCAACGTAAACGTTCTGTGGAATCGGAAAGGTGGCTGTCTTATTCGTTTCTGTCTCTTCGGTGATATTCTAACCAAAAGAGGAAAGATACCTTGAGACAGAAGAAGTAATAAGGCTTTTTTAAATGGAAGGGTTTATACCCAAGGAAGCAAGGAGGCTTTAACCAAAATAGAAAAAGTGCTCAGTCGAAACAGAGCTATAGCAGTGCTAATCTAAAAAACGTTTTACACTTACTGGCTTTTAATTCACTTAAAGCGTCTTCATAAATCGAGTTTAAGAAAGAAGAGCTAGCGGGTGGCTTATCAGAGATCGGATGCTTTTTTTGTTAAGAGGTAGATGGGTCTAAAACTAGCGGGGCTTACAAGTGGCAGCTTACGGTATGTGTTTTTTGTTGTTTCTTTTCGCTGCTATCAGATATACACTTAACCTGGACAGAAGCCTATAACCGGGAGCCAGCAACTCTCACACTAGCCTATGTCACGGCGTTTTTACGGACCAGTTTATTTTTAGATACATTTTAGGGCAATTTTTCCGGCGAAAAATAGAATCTCCACCATGTCTATGAGCTCATTCGAATTATAAGGAAAACTAAACGTTATTAAAAGGCAAAAAATATCCTTGTTAGGTCTTCAGGTTTTGCTGACTGGTTTGTGGAATTTACAAGATATACAAAATTTGGGCAAAAACCCTTCTAAAAATAAACTGATCCGTGAAAAAGCGGTGACACGAGGGCATGGAAGTTGCTCGCTCCGGGTTAGGGGCTCCTGCCCTGGAACAGAGCCCAAAGGAGTTTGAGCAACTTGGTAACGAACAACTACATGTATCGGCTAAACACTGTCTTTCCGAAAGATTGCCAAATTCTCCCAGAAGTTTAATTTGTGAAATACCAATAAATGGAATTTATAAATATATAAATAACTAGGCGCACATTCAACTAAATAAATTCTTGGCTTACAGACTTAAAAATTGAAACATCTTTCTCGCTAAAAGAGCTCAACAGTGAAGGGTTGGGAAATAATTTCTGAGTAAGTGTTCACCTTTTGCTCTTTAAATTCTACAACACAACTCACCTCTATATTATTTGTCCGGATGAAATCTTTATATAGCGTCAGATTAAATTTATTTGTCCTGTTGAATCCTTCGATAGAAACATAGAACCACCTGCTCGAGCATCTTTTCACATAAGTAATGATTCCCTCCTCCAAGAACTCATCGTCGGATACAAAACGAGGTTCAGTACAACCTCCATTTTCATGGACATCACAAAAGTCGTTGCTTTCAAGCTCCTCCAGCATAAAGATATCTCCACTTGTGGTGAAATTATCACCAATACCAGTTTCACAAAATCCAAGGTTAAATCGATGGCCTCGGGGATTCGTATCTTTCATGGATACAGATACGCGACCTCCACCACCCATTGTCTCAATAAACAAGGTTTTTATCCCTGTTTTGTTCTGTAAATCGTACTTGTAATACTTAACAGTGTTTGACTGGACGTCTGACATCACCTCCTTTTCTTCTTCAAGTAATGCGGGTTCTGGGAAAGTTTTGTAAGACAGAACTATTATTTTCTACAAACAATTGCAATTGGAGTCTTGTTTAACATTGAAATGACAACCTTCTTAACAGGTATAAACACAGTCGAACCTCCATGTGCGACCACCTCCCATAAGCGACCTGTTATCCAAAATACCATCTTTTTTTCAAAATCAAAGCCCAATAGTTAGAACCTCTCGTAAACGAACACTTCTCGTAATCAACCGCTACCACTTTTGAGGCAGATTCGTTTTATAATTTTCCATTATATTCTTCGCAGTCCACTGTACTTTTTTCCGTTAATGAAAAGCGTGCCAAGGGCCAATCAGAATTTAGATAATGACAGCAGTTCACGATAAGACCTTAAAATAATACTCACCATAACATGAAGCCTCGCGCATTTTTTCTACCATGGAGTTTACTTCAGCATACGTCTTGGGATAAAAAACATGATCAACGTCTGGGTCACTGGCAATAATGTTTAGTTCATCGTTATTGATGTTCCGCCCAATGCCCATAGCAAAGATATTAACGCCTTCCTGTCTGAGCAAATTAGACTGCTCGATCACCTTTTTTATTCCCGAGGTGGACCTTCCGTCTGTAAGAAGAACAAGCACTCTGGGAACTCCTAAGTCTTTCGGCCTCACTCCGTTATCACTGTTATTAAAAAGTTCCCTATTAGCTAATAAAAGGGCTAAATCAGTACGCGTCGAGCCAACCTGCCTGGGTATTGCCCTTATTGCATTGAGGACATCTTCCTTGTTGATGTACGTATTAAAACGGATCAATATCGATGCAGCGGAGCTGTATCTGATGACAGCAACTCGAGTTCCATGAGGATATCCGATGTCGAAGTATTCACAGACTCTAACGATAAACTGCAATCCAAGCTGAAAATTTGCTTGAGAAACACTTCCAGAGGAGTCCAACACAAAGGCCAAGTCGATCGGATTCTGACAATCTGAGAAAATGAGTAAAGAAACCAAGTGAAAAAAGAACATTTTTTCGGACAAGCAAGTCCAGATGTGGCCTGCCCAATTTTTTTGGGTTCTGTTGTTTTTGTTTTTGTTTTTTTTATTTTATTCCCCGCAGAATATACGTCTAGTGATAAGTCACGAGACTAATAGCGGGGCTCCCTCGCGCGCGAAGCGCGCGTGGGACAGAGCCCCATACTCATAGAATATGGTCAACCTCTTTTCGTTTGGTTGTCACGTGACTGACCGAGCGTACGTACGTACGCGTCTACAGATTGTACAGGTAGGGTAGGAGAGACTATCAAAAGGAAGGGAGGGGTGTCTCAGGTGTGTCTTGGCAAACCCATGTCTTTTATATTGGCCATTCACAATGTCAATTGACAGCTGTAAAAACAGGATAGCCACTGACCAGTATCACATTGCCATATCGAGGGCTCATGTGTCAACTCATCAAGGTGACGTGATTTACTTGGAAGCTGTCCGCTGACCAGTTGTTTCTCTAGATCGCAATCAATGTTCAATCTCATACTTTCTAGCTAATTTGAGAGCACAGGAAAACTGATGATGCACACATCCATTGGACATCAATGTTGTGATCAATTGACAGCTGTCAAAACAGGGTATCCGCTGACCAGTATCCCTTGACCGTGTCGCGGGCTCAGGTGTTGACCCATTGTGGTCGAGTATTTTTTTGAAGTTACCCGCTGACAAGTTATTAGTTTTCAAATGATCGCAGGCTCAAGTTTGATTGTTTTTAATTCATATGAAATATGTTTTGTGTTTGTGGCGCACAATTAAAATTTTGATTTAGAACTGACCTCGGACGCGAAAATTCAGCCAGCTATTACAGGCAGGGAAGGCAGTTGCTTTTGACTTTGCTCACCATGGTCACGCGTTGGTCACGCTCTACGTCCAATTTTTATGCTCTGATTGGTCAAAATTTGACAGGTGAGCTCATGCGGAAAATTTATGCAGCATTTTGAATCTTGTTTACTTTGACAGCTGAAGCTGACAGAGTTTCGTGTCAACGTGTGATATTTTTAACTGTCTTTTTCCACTGGAAGCACAAAATGAAATTCAGCTGCTGTCAGGAGTCTTATGTTATTCATGGCTAGTTGGATTTTGGTTGAGAAATTAATACATTACTTGTCAAAGTCGAAAATCCGATTTCGGATAGCATCGATTTCGCTTTTCACCTTGCTTGATGCGTAAGGGTTGAAAAGTCTGAAATGATACTAGCCTTCCTTGATACCTTTCAGGAGCTGCATCTCGAATGGTAAGCCTCAGTAATTACTGCGTTTGATGTTTGGTTTTTATATCTAATTTAATGAAGTCGAGCGCAGTTTATGCAGCTGTGTAGTTTATGCACGTTTGTAAGATTTGAGACAATTTGATATGACCAAGAATCAGGTTTGATATAAGCTTACAGAACTTTAAAAAGCCTTTAGACATTTTCTTACCGCAAATAGAAAGAAAACGTTCCAAAGAACATTTAGTTATAATTCTGGCTGTAAAAGAAAGCTTTGAGCGATTTTCTTGCCTCAAGTTCATCTTTGAAAAAAGTAAATACCGGGAAGCCGGCTTAAAACATAAACTTAAGCTTTAAGCTTGAAGACTCAGGATTTTTAGAGACGCTTTAATACTTGTCTTCGTGAATGAAAAATGTTGTTTCTGTATATGTTTCACCGAATTATATTTCTTTTATTGATTGTTGGTAGTCTCTCTTGTAATTTCAATCGCCGTGCCGTTTGTTTTCAGTCGTTCAGTGAACATCGCTTGCAGGAGTACTCAAAATGCCGCGCGTATCAAACCAGCGCTTTTAAAGATTACACATGGATAAAACCATTTGATAAAACGGAATAAACATGATAATTTCTTTATTATGTTGCAGCTTAATTCTAGTATGTTCGTTCAAACACTCGCTGTAGCTCGCACTGCAAAAGTGAGAACTGGCTGGCCGTATAGGTGATTTTGGAAATTTTTTTAACGGTTTAAAGAGCCCACGCGTGCTTCGATCGTCCTGAATATTGAATGAGTGCAATTTGTGTTGCAAAATTGTGAAATACTGCATTCTGTCCGAGGTCTGTATGATAAAAAGAGTACCTCATGGTACTGTTTCAGCTCAGATGTGATGTATAAATGGTATAAAAGGTTGGTTTACATGCACCCGGATTTGTTGACAAGATTTTGTAAAGTAAACTTGTCGAACGCAAAAAAATTCGGCCTGATTTTTTTTCCAGGCCTAATTAATCTTACGGTGATCAAGAGCCATTATGGCTCCTAAATGTTATCGAAGATGATTGCTATTTTTTGGGTGTACATATGAGGATATCAACTCGGTGTAAGATTTGGCTCACTCTTGGCATGGGCTGTTTGCAAATTATTTTTCTCTAAAATCACTTAGCCTTTCCCTCAAAAGTCACATGAATGTGCTATGTGCTCTAAAGTTAACTGAATTGTGGAATACAAGTTTATTGTTTGATTTAAATTATAAATATATTAATGGGAGCCTCGCTTTTAGCCCTGGCTAAATCTATATATTATTTTAATGAAATACTATTGCCTTTAGCAGCAATTAATGTCGAGATGCCATTAAGTGCTACTTGCAGTTATTTTTCAGACGGAAAATGCCCCAAGAAATACCAGCTGACCATCAGGTCTCGTTTTTAACATGTGGAGACTACGGTGACGATAGACAACTTCCCGTAATTCTGAACCTATACCACAAAACGACTCTATTAACTACCTAGCATTATTTAGGAGTTCTTATTCTCTAATATCCCGCCTTCAAACCTTTTCTGTGGTGATGGAAGAAAACCTAATTTTCAGCTATTCACCGGGTAACTAAGTAAAGTGTGCAATAAAATAGCACTATATTTTACCAATAAAAATAAAATAGATTTGTATTTTATCAATAACAGGAAAAATTATGTAGACCCAACTAGAAGTTAGGGTTCCACGGTATCTTAAGCATTTTTTTTTTTACCCAGTTATACGGTATTTTGCTGCCAAAATGTCATATACACTTCTAAAAAGTAATAGTTAAAAAGACATATCTGTTAAAATGTCGTTTGTGTAGTGCATGCTATCGCCAGAAAAAGCTACGGCAACCAAGAAGCCCTGGGGAAGAGGATCTGTTAGCTCAGCTGTTTTGTTAGAGCTGGAGAAAATGGCGAAAAATTTCACCTGTTTTGCGGTCGAACTGATCGAGGTAAGCATGTTTTGAAAGTGCGAATTATTTTGAATAATAATTTTGGACAAGAGAGAATGAGGTAGCTCATTATCTCTTGTTTTGGATTCCTAGGTTTTGTTGGAATCTCAGTTGTGAAGGCCTCGGAGGGTGTTATCCCCATCGGTCTTCGACCTCGGCGGATAACACCCTCCTTGACTACGGATCGGCATACTTCTCTAGGTCATACCAAGAGAGAATGAGCCAATTGGTCATACTCAGCAATCACAGTCTTTCACTTTTTGGCCGTAAGTTTTTATATTAAACTAAACTATACCATTACCTAGGCAACAGGCGATAGGTGACGCTCCAGGGCAACCCTCTGTAGTGTACTCTCCTTTGCAGCTCTTCATGAGTTTACAACGTCCTTTTCTTTGCCCCGAGTAACACAACGGCCCTTGGCCTTGGGATGGACATGAAAGACCAAGAACCTGTGGAACCAAGTTTGGAACGTGAAATTCTTTCCAAGGGGAAAGTTCATATGAAAACGCTCACTCACTCGCTAGCTACAATAACTCTTGGCATAGGTACTTGTGTCACTGGCTTGAGTGTAAGAAAAACAAGCTAAAAACAGCTACCTTAGTAGTGTGTCTCCAGTACTGGAAAAGTCGTTCAATCCCCGTGGAACTATTTTGAATCTTGTGAGATAACTCAACGAAGCTGTATTCAGTTCCATTACAGTAGTCTCCCATACTCCCTGTGGTTAGGCTGATATTACGAGCTGAGGCGTACCCTTCTTTCCACAGCCATGAAGCCACCTTGAATCCAATGGATGGCAAAGCCACCATCTCCGGCTGATCTGCGAGTGTTTTCAATTTTGTGGGATGTTAGCAAAGAAAATAGATTTTTAACCACCTTGGCGGACCATAAGTTTGTAAATGTGCCCTAAAATGGTTATGCTGAAAAATTTAATAAATGCAAAAACTAATCATTTAGTCCAGACTCGCCCTCTAGGCCTTTCCCTTGTCCACAGCCCCTCGCATAAAAACCCTGGGGACAAAGTTTCATCTAGACCTATTTCGCCTCCTAACAGTTGAGCTGTTTAATTTTTTCAAAGCTTAAATAACCACTGGAGTTTAAAGCTTATTGAAGGTTTCGGATGACAAGCGACGTAACATGATTGGAAACGTATAAGATATAAAAACTATGCACTGTAGTGAAACCTGGAAAAACTTAATTTAAATCGCTTTTTAGACTTTGCTAGCACTCGTATCTTAGCGATAACGTGTCTCGCACTAAGCTGAGATCACGGTCTACTTTTATTTTCCTGAGTAAACTTAGATTCCAAGCCAGCAAGGCGAATCAAAAGGTCTCCCATTTAGTACAGTTTTTCTGTACCTGAATCGAACCTGAATTATCGAATGTAATAATAAGTATTGCATTACTTGCACGTGCGTTCACGTGATTACCGTGACATCAGACGGACCTTAAACTCAACACCAGGGCCTTAGCGGCCAAATACCATGCATAATAGTCGGTACAACACGGGCATCCCAAGAATATGAACAGATTCGGGAAAAATATCGCTATACAGTTCATAGAGTGCCGCTGACCAAGAATAGGCTGCGGGCTCCTTTTGTCGCCCGCAATGACTGTCTTTAGAACATATCATGATGACCTCATGTATCTCACGCTGATCACTGCGTTCTATAATTATTTCTTTGTTATTTTCACTTTCTTAATTCACTAACTTTAACTTTAACTTTAACTTTATTTGATTTACCACAAAAATACAAATAACGATAAAACAAGACAGTTACACAAAAGCAAATGAAAGTGGCGAGGAAGCCCAAACAGAAACCATGAGGCTTATAGACATTGGGCTCCCTCAGAGTAAAAATAAAGTTAACAGTAACGGTAAGGCCAGGATCGAAAGCAAAATACACTGAAGGTAAGTATAAATTAACTAATTACATAGACTGAGTTGACAAAATATAAGGTATGGTACAAGTAACAATAAGTATAAAAATAATATCAGACATGGAAGAAATATAACTATATTTACTACAAGATTTATAACTAATAATTCATATATAATTTTTTTTTCAATTTCGTTTTGAATAAGTGGAGAGAATTAGATTCTTTTATATCATTTTCTATAGTGTTATAATAAGTAGGTCCTTGGAAACTGACAGAAAATTTACGGAGGTTTGTTCTACAAGAGGGAAGGTGAAAATCGTTCGCGTGTCTAGTGGCATAGCTATGGACTTGTTTGTTTAAAGAAAAATAATTGTTGAACTTTGAAGGCAAAAGAGAATGGTTAAGAGAAAACATAAGTTTACCTAATTCTAGCTGTCTAATATCGGAAAGTTTTAGTAGCTCTAATTCTTTGAAAATAGGGTCTGAATGAGAATCGAAAGTTGATTTAGAAATAATTCTGATAACTCGCTTTTGCAAAGAGACAAGACGGCGAAGATTGGTTTTGTACGTAGATCCCCAGACAATAATACAATAATGAAGATAAGGATAAACTAAACAATAATAAAGAGTTTTTAGACACGGTTTAGGTAGAAAAAATCTTGCTCTATTAATGACACCTATTGATTTCGAGATTTTACGAGCTACTTGAGAAATGTGCGGTTTCCAAGACAGATGTTCATCAAGGACTACACCGAGGAAGACCGTTTCCTTAACCTGTTCGATTCTCTGTTCGTTTAAACATTGCTATATAGTCGATATTTAATATTATCATAATAATTAATAAATTATTAATTAATTATTTTTATTTCATCATCATTATAATTTTACTACTATTATTATAACTATTAGTTTTCGCTTTTTTAGACCGACTAGATTAGCTTGTGCTATTTGCGGGCTAAGCTATCTTAGTTTGCAATCATGCATGACGTAAATAAAAAATTTGTTGTTGTTGTTGTTGTTATACTAACCAATAATCTCCTCTTTGACAGCAGATGAAGCCAGTTCATAAAAATGTTGTCCGATTAAAGGAAGAAATCCACGACTTTTAAATTTGCGTTTGTCATTTCCTTCTTCGTTGGTGGGCTTTTCTCCATAGGAACTTTCCTCTGAAAGTCTCAGTCCTGAAGTTTGATATAGAATCTAAATAAAGACAAAATTCGCAGTTTGTTGGTCATGCTAAGGACAGCGCAGCAACGGTCACTTGAAGACTTAAGCTTGCCGGTTTGTCTATATAACACCTACGATCGTTTAGATCGCTATGCTTTTTTTAGCGCTTTGTAGCTATGGTAGCGATCATTAACCGAACCACGCTTAGGATTTTTTTCTCTTTATTTCCTTTTTTTTTTCAGCACTCCTTTCCGATAGAAAAAAGTATTTGGAATACTAAATTGAGGTGCTTATTTTACAATTCGATTTTATTACTACTCCTCATTAGGCTTGGATAAATTCTGCCGGCAGAATTTCGAGCAGAATAAGCGATTTTTGAGGCGAGCATTCTGCCGGCAGAATAAGGCATTTTCGAGCAGAATTTGAGCGAAATAAGGGAAAATCAGCGGTACTAATGATATTCATAACAGTTGTAAGAAAAATTTAAAACTAAGGGCCTGCTTACATGGAGGTGGGGTACGCCAGGTAGGTGAGGTAACCCGCTTAGGTGGGGTAACTCGCCTGTCCATATAATCTCTGACGCGCCACATGTTACCTCACCTATCTTAGGTCCCCCACCTTCATACAAACAGGCCCTAATTTGATTATTTAATAGCTACAACGCTCTCACATTAAAAGTAAGAGGAATTACAATTTTGCTACGAATGAATATCGAATTAGTTTTTAGGGGTTAGACCCAGGCTCCCTTCTATATTTGCGAAAATAAACATGGCCAGAATTGTCTTTAGGATACCGAGCAGAATTCGAACAGAATAATGGTGTCCCAGCAGAATTTTGAGTAGAATAAGCGATTTTTACGAGCACTGCCGGAAGGCAGAATAAGCCATTTTACGAGCAGAATTTATCCAAGCCTACTCCTCATCTTTCAGCTATTCCCTGTTCCTTTCTCATTGTCACCTTAAGAGACATTTTGTGCACTTTCTTGTGCTTTTCCCGTGTAATAAAACACCCGTCGAGCGATTTTATTTTTGTACTTACCTGGGCAGTAAAGGCAGCTATTTCCAGTTTATTACCAATGATGTCCGCTGTACTCAAAGCTTTCATATAAAATGGATACAGCGCTCTTGTCCTTGTGGTATCCCCAACCATGGCCAAATAAACTTCCCTGGAAACACTGACATTCTGTGGGATGGAGGGAACTATGGTAGTATCGAAAATACAGCAGATGACATCCCCGTCTGTTTGAGATGCGTTTGTCAGGGTGGCTCCTGGGCAATCATTGGCTTTCATGTAGTAGCCACGGAAGTACGAAGGGTACCTCGAGACACACTGGTTTACGCATTCACCACGGTCTGAAAAGAATAATAATTTCACCAACATCTCTTACCAATTTTGTGGGAAAACCCGCGGTAATTCTGCTGAGAATTCACCTGAAAGTATCCAAGTGGAAATTTTGTAGAAAAAAGTAATGCCTTCCAAGGTTTTTCCTTTTTTCCCCTTTTACCAAAACAACCTAAACTTTCTCAACCGTTTGTGTTGATTACAAGTGCAAGGTTTCCTCTCGAGAGTGTACGAACAATTTTCCGGTATTCTGTTAATGGTACAACTCAATCGCATTCCTGTTTTCGGAGCGAAAAACAAAACACCTTTACCATTTGGCGAAAAATCAACTTGCTTATTAAAAACGTAAGAAAAGTATGTACTGTTACAAGGTATAACTGGGGATACTTGTGAATTAATGTTTCGGAATATGATTCTGTAAAAAATATGGGTCAAATAAATCTTTCAACCACAGTTTCATACTCTTTCACTTAAAGTACTTGCGTTTTATCTTCTTGAAACTGAGCTATAGGGCAAAATAAAACAATGCAGATACTTACTTGAAAAAATTAATAGTATAGATTATAGGATACACATACAAAGATGTCTACATTGTAACAGATAATTCTGAAGTACAGAAGTAGAATATATGTCATATATACTTATTACTATATAAACTGATTTAGTTTTAAGTTTATGCAGGTATTGCATATTTAACCAAAGCTCCTCTCAGCCAATAAAATTGCGATTATTTTACACGTTGCACTATACTATGTATGTCAGATTCTTGAAAAAAATGAATACTTAACTATCCTCTCCCCTTATGGGCCTTTTCAGGAATAATGAACCAGTACTTCAAATGAAACATAATATGGCTAAGAATCCCAACTGGTAAGAGGCGAATCAGTGGGCTATTTACAAGCGTGGGCAAGCATCTGATCGTGTCCTTGTATCCCGGTTTAGTAGATAGTAAGCCAGTATAAATACGTCACGTGTTTACAACTAGTACTTACCTGGCCAATATAACAGCAAAAAGAGCACAGCTATTGCCGCCATTTTTATCAGACCGTCGCTTGAGTCTTTGATGTCTTGTTGAACTATTTCGTGAGAAGAATCTGATTAAAACATGTGAAAAACTGAAGGACAAACTAATATTGTACAAACAAAAGGATCAAACACAAGCTGGCGAAATTGCCGACTTGATATCAGTTTTTTGAATAGATGTCTAAAAATCTTTATTACTTCATTACCTGTCCATTTCTTTTATATTTTTGACATAAAATAAAAGACAGTAGTATCAAATAAGACATCGATTCTGAGACTCCGTGTAAGTGCGACAATAGTCTTCATGGGAACGTCCTACGAAAGGTTGTATACCAGCTACAGTATGTATTATATTGTAATCTCCTTTAAGCCTTCATTCATATATATAACAGTTTAATTTGGATTCGAACATCATTTAAAGATGTTTCTTTCGCGAAGTGATCAACTCTTACATTAAACTTCACGGTAAGTCATTTCAGTGAATTGCCTTATTCTTGGACTTTCGCCGGGAAACCTAATTATGACGAGTCTTGCGTTCATGGTATCTAAAGTTTCATATAGCAAGGCGCTTGCTTGAAACTTAGTGTTCTTCAGATAAGAGTGAAAAAATACGTTGACCAGCTAGTAAAGTCTACCAAACGAGAAGAAATGTCAGAATAATATATCATGCTTTGACAAAGTGTCGCAGCTGTGTCGCTGTCTACACAACTCAAGTCTATCCGTTCCACACTCACCATGTAATGCTGGACAATTTCAGGAAACTATTGAATACAACGATTTTACACCTACTGTGACAACAAAAATCTTTGTTGTTACTCAACTTTAAATCGTTTTCAGGCCATCCAGCTGTTCAGTTCATATCTTTCATATTTCAGACTAGCCCTGTAGCGTAACAGCTCATATAGGCTCCAAGCGGTCCATCTGGAAAGTCGAAGACACAATTCTGAAAGTCGACAGCCGTACTGTTCCTCTCCTTTCTTTTTCGATTCGTTCCACCACCACACCACAATCAAAATTTATCAGCGGTCCAACAAGCTTATTTTGAAAAGGTAAGAAATTTTTTTTCACATCTGCATCACGCCCTTGCGCATATTCAAATGATCATCTCAGACATCATTTCTTGGCTTACTAGAAAGTCAGTAAACATCATGATCCATCTTGGCGTATTTAGCTCATCGATAGACGCTAAAAGACGACTCAAGAAACCTCCTCATTCAGTTTGCATTGTCAAAGCAATCCCTTGAAATTTCATGTTCCAAAAAAGATGAAAACAGAATCTCATGTAAAACTGCAAAACGTTGTCGAATTGTTAATCCGTGCAAAATGTTTTCTTCACCGGGCAAACTTTGTGGAAGTATTTGTATTAATTGGTTCAAGACTGACTATCGAACTTTTTTTTGACAAGCGATATGTCAAAAGACCTTAAACCGTATACTTCATTTACTGTCCCCCACTGTCAAAATATAGTATACTAAAAGAAAGATATCTAGTACTGATTTCTTCACTTCATTTGCCCTGAACGGGAGTGTCAGCTTTGATGACTCAAAGTAAACAATAAAATTGTATTGTCTGTTTAACTTTGGGTTCAATAACCAAGGATTAGACTGGATCAAAACTGTGTGATGGCTGCACTTCTTTCAAACAAGGAGGAGGAGAGAAAGACAGCTCTAGTGAAGCACAAAAATCTAGTTTTTAAACGACCAAGTTGAGGTCTTCATAGGCATAAGTCACGTGCAGCCCGCACAAACTACACTGGAAGGTTAATATCTCTTAATATCTCTTTCACTCCCCCTCTGCAGGGTAAAATAATGATGACGCCTTTAACGGAGTTAGAACTTTGGAGTCTGTAAACCAAACCACTCAAATGAGACCTATTCCACAGCACTTTTACATGATGCTATATTTTTTCCGGCAAGTTACACAATGAAAAAAAATATTGTTAGATTTTAGTTTGGCTCATTTAGGGAATTAAATTTTTAAAGCACAGTTGGGTTAAATATGGTTAAGAAATTAAGAATAAATACTTCGTTCTCTCATAAGTATAGCTGTGCTTTCAGTTTTAATTTACGGCAGGATTCAGTTCTTCATTTTTTTTTAAAGGAACCTCGATATAACGAAGGGCCAAGGGACTGGAAAAAGTGTTCGCAAACAGCGAGGTTTCGTAACATCGAGGTTCTTTTCCATATGTTTCTATTACCAGGGTGAAAAATATCGTTCGATATTATATCAAGGACTTCGTTGCATAGAGATTCGTTATATCGAGGTTCTGTTGAATTTTTGTATTTCACTTTGGTGCCGCCTACGACCACCACCCGCTGGCCAACAAGTCTGAGGATGCAGGTACGAAATTGCGAAAAATGCTGACCAACAAATTTACTTTCGACACTTTCCTACGAAACAGAGAAATCCGAGTGTTATGTAAGTACATGGAAACATTTGATGACTGGGCTTTGAAGGCACGTGTGCCAATATTCTTTGCTTTACAGTAATGTAATAGTCTGGAGGTACTCGTGATGAAATAAAGGTTTAAGACCAATAATTTAAATCAAAACAAACGATTTCTGGACGAGGTTATTTTTTTGTTTTAAATGACTTGCCACGTGATTGAGTTTCACGATCAATGTGTAAATCAATTTATTCATTTCTGCTTGGTTCGATTAACCACAAATTTAGTACCAGTTATTGCCTCCTTTCTTTTTATTTAAGAGCATTTGGCCAGATTTATATATAAAACATCGAGGCGTTTCTGTAAAGCTAACGACGTTACCAAGACTACTAGTATTAACCTGATGATTAGCTGATATCATTGAGGCACAATATTACAATACCCTCACCAAGAATGCCCGAGATTGCTGGGAACATCGCAAATCTGCTCCAGCCCCTTGGCAAACATGTTCTGGTTTTGAAGTGCTGCCTGGCATTCGTAGAGAAAGTGCCGCCGTTTTGAATAATTCGGTTTGCATAAAAGTTTGAACCCGTGTTACACGTAGCGCTCATAAACAATTCAACGCGGCCTAGACTAGGTAACTGGTAAATAATTTTGACGAGAGAAGCAATATAAAAGTATGTACCATTATGGTTTGGTCACCGACAAAACAGATTATAATATGGGAAGTTGGCGTTACCTACTTCTTCAGGGTGAAGTTGACTCGGTCAATTCAATCCCCTCTACATAGTTTTATCTTCCTCGGAAGTCCAGCAACGTTGTTTGTTATTGTAGTTCAAAACTCTTATGCGCACATAGACGTGTTGAAATGGCTAATTTGTGATGAATTGAAATTCAAAATTAGACGTCAATTGCATTTACTTTAGGGAGAGGCTCACAAAACAAAGACCCAAGGGAGGAGTCTAAAAAGTCTTTGTGTTAGTCAAGCCTCTGCAATTAACCATTTTGTCTATGCAAAGTACAGAAAACAAAACTTTCTATGACGTGAGACAGTAGTTTCTAAAAACGTGCGTGAAAGGCCAAGCCTTTTTATGGTCGAAAGACTACTGGTATTATAATAATGTTCGGATTGACTTTCTTCAAATGAAATCATAAAAGAAGAAAAGTGCGACAATCCATTTGAACGGCTCATGACCGGTCAGACTGCTGAATATTCCTGAGAGCATCGATCTACTTGATGAACAAACAACAAACCGGGGCAATAAATTTAGTACTTTTTTATATAAATTTGGTATTTTTTTAAGAAGCGTAGCAAACCAACAATATCAATGAAAGTTATGCTTTTTATTTTAATTTCGCCCAGAGGAGTGAATTTACAATCAAAACCATTCCTTTCTCGCAGTCATATTGTGGAAGTTTAGAGGAGTCCAACAGTTGTGATCAACGTTGAGTCTTATCGTTGATTTCCAGTGTCGCGTAATTTTTACGTGTGTATGTGCGTAAAATTTACGTTCGCAAATGAAATGGAGGCAAATTGCATGAAAGGTCGCTCGTAAGCGTAAAAGTTGAACCTCCCTCAACTTCTCGTTTAAGTTCAGCACTTTTTATCTTGTCTCTATTTTATTTACGTGATTAAAATTTACGTGCGTTAACGTGCGTAGCCAAAAACGCCTCAGTGGAAATCAATCTTTAGCGTTCCGTCCTTACTCGGGTGGATAAGTTTTTAAACTTTTCTACAATGTATCCTGCATAAATATACTATCCTTCCTACTTATAAAATAAACTACATACTGGGACGAATTGTTTACACCTTCCATCCTTGTTATCCTAACTGTATGTGCTAAGTGGTGGGAAAGTTTTATCTGATCAAGAAGTATAATATTCACGTACTGATCGGTTCGGCCAATTATTTTTGGAAAAAGGGAAAGCGGCCTAAATTTTTACCAGGGTATTGAGCTTTATTTTAAAAAAACCTTTATACAATTAAAACTGAACAGACGCAAATAAATATGGAAAAGAAATGCATGGTTCAGTATGATTGCAAGTAATGTATATCTAGCTGGATTTTTGAAAACGTCACGGCCACATCTTCCGTCAAGCGGAAGTCAGTTTTTCGTTCAGGAACTATTTTTAAAGTAGCCAATACTAAAACTAACAGTGCAACGATTGCTTTTTCCCCCTTATCCTCCTTTTGTTCTCCTCGCTAATACATTTTTTTATTCATTTCCCTCAATAGTGTCGTTTTCGGTCATATCGGAAGCAAAAAACCTGCCTTTTGGAACATAATTAAATAGCTGCAAATTTCGCCAGATAAGCTCTCAATTATCGGCTAGATATATATTTCTCTTTCCTGTCTGTCTTTTCATATGTGCCCTTTTCTCACCTTGGGTAATACGTTTCTATTTAGGGGCTGAAACAAAAACCTAATACCCAACTTTAAAACATGTTAAGTGTTATGAAGTGTTGCAGAAACATCTAAGCACGAGCGACAGATGCCAAGACACATGAGATCCTGAGAGTCTCGCAAAGTAAATGGTTAACATGGCAGTTTTGATAATGTTTACGCCTTTTATAATTGTACCCGTATGCGTCTGGTAATTTGCAAACTTGAAGTTGCGCATAAGACTAGGTCCGTAGTTGTGTTGAATTGCCCATGGGGTTGTTTGGGGTAAGGAACAGGCCATATTCGAGTCGCCCCGGGGCTTCTGTATCAAAACGAGGTTAAGTGCTCAGCCTTTGATATGGAAACGATTTTTCATTCTCATGCAAATAAAACTCACTTTCACAAGAAAGGTTGTGCACTTGGCCTCATTTTGAAAGTGAGGGGTTTTGGAACTCGGAATTGGTCTATTTACACCCACTTTTCTACGGAACCTCGTACCTGCCAATAGGGACTTTCAGCAAATCACTATTGCGGTCGTGGATGCGGAGTCCTGGGGAGAGTACGTCACCGTCGTCAGCCAAATTGCAAATAGGAGAAACGTCGAATTTTATACTCCAGCAATAGCGACTACGCCACAAGACAGCTTCACGTTTGGGACTTGGCAAAGGGTCATTTCCAAGCCTGTGCACTTCGTCATTTTTGGGCTTTTTTACTTCCGACCAGTAGAGGTCGCCGTAGCATTTTGCTTAAAGCCCCTATCAAAAATGGTTCCACTGTGCTATTCGACGGACCAACGGCCCAGTGTGCATGTCATGCGTGCATAATAACTATCGTTAATTTTCGAGCTCGTCAGAACGCATCCTAATCTTGGTGTTCCTGTGGTAAAAGTCACAAATTTTCGAGGTATCGGGGGCGACTGCCGATTAGCCGCCCCGACTGATTTTATCAGGGGCATCTCGCCCGGTAAACTGGACTCATTTCGACTCGTTAGCTCTTCTGTAAGTGACGAACGCGGATCCGTAATCAATGATTACCTCTAGTATTATAACTAATCAGGGGAAAAACATTTCAAGTGTTCACATTTAAGTTAGGAAGCTCCTCTGGCACAGGTTCTATTGTTGAATTCATTTTTACTCGGCTGTTTTCTCTGGAATTTCTAGAATGTCTCTTTCTCTTCTTATTTACATGCGCCTCTGTAACTGGAGGTAATTTCACTTTCGAAGACCCCTGATTAGTTTCCTTTTGAAGCCACGCTGGCGGTGCGCGAAGCTCACTTTTAAGGTTGTCATCAACTTTTTTATGCGCGTTTTGTGTTTCTTCTGCTGATTGGCTGGATTCGACAACAGCGCCGTTTATCATGCCTTCGGTAATCTTTTTGTCCTCTGATTCAGGCATCATGTTAACATCCTGGGTTTCAAAAGGAAAGAGATTGTCAATTACTATTGAAACTTACTTGGGAGTTTGGATTGTTTGCCTAACTGATCAAGAACAGTTAAAATTGAATCAGCCTATGCAGAACAGTGTAGTTTCTAAGCTACGCGATCAATTCTTATGCCATAAAAGCCTACTTAATAAATCAGTATCAAGATTCATGTTTCTTCCAAATGCCTTCGTTGTATTGTGAGTTTTGTTGTTTTTTCATTTTATATTTTCTGTTTTCTTTTTTTCGTTTTTTTTTTTTTTTTGTTGTTTTTTTTTTTAGTTTATAATATCTGTTTTTTTTTTAAGATTTGTTATTATTTCTTAATAAAAAAAAATATATAAAATAAAATTATAATAAGTATGTTTTTTTTTCTTTATTTCTTTTTTTTTTTTTTTTTTTTGTTTTTTTTTTTTTTTATTTTTTTTTTTTTTTTTTTTTTTTTTTTTTTTTTTTTTTGCTGTCTTGTTTTTTGTTGTTGTTGCCGTTATGTCTTAGAGGATTAATAGCCAATGACGGTATAAAAGAAAAGCTTATAATTCAATACCAATATTCCGGGGGGTTTATTTGCGATTTCAATAGATTTAGTGCTGCACAAAGACTCCTAAAGAAAGTCATAGTTACCGAAAGTGTAGCTCCTTTAGATGATAAAATGCCAGCTGTTGATGTGGTCGGCAACGATGAAGGTGAGAATAGAGTCGTTCGACGACTTGACCAGATTTCTCTCTTTCGTTGTATCACTTTACGGATCTAAAATACAGCCAAAGAATCAAGAAATTAAATAACAACACTAGTAACTTAAAAATTAAGACGGCATCAGTAAGCAGTTTCTATGACTAGATAGTTTTTATTACCGTGTGTTAACCTATATTATCAATATTCTCTCATAAAAAAAGTCATAATAAACAAAACAGCACTTCTCTACCTCATTTCAGGTAATTGTGGGAAACCCCTTATTAATCCTGTGTGGCTCGATCCCTTCAATAGTTTTCTCGGTTCTTAGCCCACGTTCGATATATTAAGATTCTAACATGAATCCGAAGCTTTCCGTTCATATTTCTATATTTGGTTGGGTGTTCTTTGTGCTCAAGTCTCTTCTAAGAATTGCCAGACAATAGAGTCGTGAAAGATTTGGAATTTATTTTATAACATTTCATTTTCTTGGCTTCTTCCACTGGACGGTTTCCAATTTATTTTTTTGTTGCGTGACTGCGAAAACGATCTATTAGAAACCGAACTTAAAAATTAATGCTCCTTATTTCCATGCACAAACTCCAACTGCGGAAATTTTCCTACTTCTCGTGGAAAAGTACTTTGGGGCTCTTGTGTGATCGCCAGACCATTTCTGAGAAATGAGAAACCAAATATCCTACGCTCCTCACCTCTGAGTTAAGTAAGCAGTGAAATATGAAAATGAAGAATCCTTGTAATGAATTGAAAATAGCAAAAAGGTACTGAAATGCAATTGTTTTCCTGTCCAGTGCCAGGATTCCAAATAGCCACGTAACACCCAGTAACGGAAATAAAACGACTGTCGATTTGATACCAGATCTGTGAAGAACAAGACACCAAAATCAACATGGTCTCAACATCATGTTGTTGATTGGTAATCCAAAGAAAGGTTTCACATAACCATCCCTGTTCAAGAAGGAGTGAAAAATTTACTGGGTGTAAAGAACCATATTAATACTCACTTGACAAGATCAAACTTGGATGAACTGGAAATTCCATTTGTCTGAATCTTAATAATCTCCCTTATTACCAGTCCGAGGATTACCGTATTGACCTGCAAGCAGAAGCAAGTACAATTAAATCACCTTACAGTCTGAAGAATAGCAGTACTTTGATCTGGTTGATGAAGGAGCCTATGGAGCAGCTGAAATCTCACATAAACTGCCACGTCAAAAAATGGTCAAACTGGTCAAAATTGTATCTGGACGGCTTAAATATTTTTGACAGAGTTTAAATTATGATTTATTTACCTACGAGGCACTAAGGAGTTCTTATAAACTTGTTGAAAAGTGTCCGTACGTTCCAGATGGAATTGGAATTTGGAAGTGTTGGTGTTTGAGGAGAGGAGAAAACCGGTGTACCTGGAGAGGAACGTCTCGGAGCAAGGGAGAGAACCAGCAACAAACTCAACCCACATGGCGTCGACGCCGGGATTTGAACCCAGTCCACATTACCGGGAGGCGATTGCTCTCACCACTGCACCACCCTTGCTCCCCGACAAATATTTCTTCTCACTTACCAGTACTATTACTAATGCAGGTGCCACGAATGCGTAAATTACTCCATCTACCACAGATAACCAGCAGCTAAAATATTAGAGTAAAACAGTTATTCCATTCATTTAAACACAAAGATACAGTCCTTATTTAACCAGAGGTTAATGTTTAAGATCACAAGGGGCACCATCCATTTTAATTTATATAGCGGTCGCCCTCCAGGTGAATTTGAAAATGCCAACTTTTACCAGTACTATATTTTTTTCCTCATTTTCCAAGATTACTGCAACTCATGCAAACTTGGAGACTTTCCCGGCTTTGTATTTCTACATTCAGTTCATGGATATCCAAGTTCATGGGTTTTGAGTAATGAATCAGGCTCAGAGCAAAACGTTACCAATAGCAGTATGTTAAGCCTACCTCATATCTGTACCGTATCCGTCATGCGCCGCAATAGCAGAAATAAGAACAATGACTCCAGGCAAACCTGGTGAATTATACGAGAGAATCAAAATCATAAAAAATTCCTGCATTGTTTAGATATACCAACAAGACTTGTTTTTTAAACAGTCCTTTAAACAGCCTACTTCCCTTATCTAAAAACTGTGGATAAGGGCTTTCAGTTTCAGTTTGTGGATTAAGAGCCTCTTGGCAGAAATTTGCCTCTTTAGTACCCAAAAAGATAAGAACCTGTTTAGCCCAGCAAGATTAAGCAGGCTCTTATATATGGGTTACAGTTAAAATATGATAAACAATTCAACCAAGGAGTGTAACTTTACGTTGTAAACTTAAGTATAACAATAAAATACTCCACTAAACTGTACATAAATCCAGTATTCAGTTTTGTTAGTTGTGAAGAAATAAAAAGTTCATTCACTTTTTTGGTAATCAACAGTCTGTTATCTCCTTCATACAAATAAAGAACCTAATTAAGAACTTACTTTGCCTAAACTACCAATAAGTACCCCAAAATTAAGTACAAGAACCTATTTTGCCAGACTTAGCGGGTGTTTACTGTATACGGTACACTACAATAATCATATATGAACTACCTACCGACTTGTGAAACCCTACCACAGACCTCTGAAATTTTACATTGATTAGCCTGGTCCCGAGAATTGAAATGCCTTACCGTAAGCGCATGTCCCATAAATACGCAGGTGCTCTTTGCTACTTTCAAACACGGTAATGACCATGATGTAGAGGTAAACGCCTTCAACTAGCATCCATGCAAATGACACTAGCAGGAAATAATGAAGTAATACGGCCACAATTGTACATATCACCTGAAATGAAATACAAAACAGTAAGGCAAGTATCATGAAGCAAGGGCCATTTTTGTGGTAAGAATTCACTTTCTTAAAATAATAATCCCTCGACAAGTAAATTTTCAGTTCTAAAACAGAGAAGAATTCAAAAGTAGGTTGAGTTTGATCGTCCGGGTGAACGTAGCCCTGAATAGGACTGTTGTTGTTGACAGTGACTGACGTTTCGACAACCTGTGCAGTAGTCATCTTTAGAGTCAAAATGAGTTGTATCACGTGACAATAGACGGATCGAAATGTACCAATTACTGATTACGAGTCTTCATAGCCAATAACATCACTGCTTAACTGACAGGCGACCAATAACATCGCGGCGTAATGGACCAGTCAGATAAATAACCAGAGTATAATGCCATCAACTGACGTGATACAACTCACTTTGACTCTGAAGATGACTACCGCACAGGTTGTCGAAACGTCAGTCTCTGTCAACAACAACAGTTCTATTCAGGACTACGTTCACCCGGACGATCAAACTCAACCTATTTTTGAAATGACTCCTGGGTTCAAACCTTTCACAGAGAAGAATTCAGTGAACAAACCTTCTTGCTCGTTGCTTCAATTCCTGCGAGGAAAATGATTTGGAAGATTCCAATAGCCAGCGACAAGTTAAGGTGAATCAAGTTCCTTTCCGAGCGCAGTCCACTACATAATTCAAATAAAAACAAAGAACAAGGTCGTCTGGCATTACATCATCATTGTCAAAGGCACTTTTTAACAAGTTATGAATGTTGATCCTTCAGGTTACCTGTAGCGTCAATAGTATTTTTCCTTTCCAATTTAATTCCTGTTTTAAGATATACTGTATTTTCTTAGACCTCTTTTCACATTGGAGGCCCAATTTTATATCATTTTGCTTAAACAAGGACAACGAAAACACGACAATTTGAAGCTTATTTTCAAATTTTTCGCTTTATGTCAAGGCTTAACGGATAGTTTTCTTATGCTTTCTAGAAATATACGGTCTGTGAAGCAATCATTGTTCGTTAAAGTAGAAAAATTAAAGAAAATAATTCGGACAGACGTTACTTACGACAAACACGAAATAATGGTGACAGTCAATGTGACGCCGATGAGGGACAATCCACAGCCCACATAAGTTATTATCTCCAACGCTTGGGCATGCGCTTCAGATAGCTATAAAAAAATTAATGCCTGTTAATAAGTATTTGTAATTAAATGGTCGGATACCTTAAAATCAGGTTGAACACCATAATCGAATGGTGACGAGCGAGTTTCCCATTTGCTATTAATATCACGGGTGACAAAAGTTTTTTTTTTTTACTTTTTTATCGCATCGAGAGAGAACTCCACGTACTGTGAAGTTTAGATGATAAATTTTGTATTAAACTCATTTTTTATGTGCTCGTTCGAGTGCTCAGGTTTTCTAAAGTGTCTTTTAATGCCCTGGCTTCTTCATTCATAATATCTTGAAACTTGACGCCATCTTAACGCTGAGACGTACGGAACGTTGTCATGGCAATTTTAATTCGGCACATGTGAAATTATAAATAATGCTGAAATTTCGGGCCAAAATTAAGGAGTTATTTGTCACCTATGTAATTAGTAATGCGAATTACTTTAAATTACGATCGTTGCTAACCACCCGCCTGTGTGATCCTATAGCCAGGATTCTTATGGCATCTCGAGTACTTCCTCCCTTACATTTTCTCTCTTGCTACTGTCTCGTTTGATTCCATGGCTTGGGAGCGTTAAAGTAAAAAAAAAAGGGGTGAATAAGATGGAAATGTCCAGAGGGCGGGGAATACGGAGGTATACTTAATGACGAGGAATATTGGACCATCTGAAGCACGTTTCCTCTTTGCTAAGCGGGTATTCAAGTGGTTTTAGAGGAAGGGATTTTTATACTTGCCATATTATATTGGACGTTTTTAAGATCCCCACACCTTCCGGGAAACAAACAGTAAAAGTTGCAGCCTGCGAGCGAACTTAGCATTTCGAGAGACGAGAGAAGAAAGTCGCGAGAGAACGCCCGAGCAATTGGCAAAGCCGGGGGGGTGGGCAAGGGAAAGCCTTTCTTTCCCCGCCCTTCACTCTGGCATTTCCTTTCGTTGTTTCGCACGCATAAGATTTTGTGTGGTGGATTACAGAAGGTTCAAGTGTATGCGGGTTTGATTATGTGAAAAGTCACGTCTTTTACCTCTGTTGTATCTGATTTGACTTTCATAAGAATGGCAAAATTAGTGAGATGATTACATCTGCAGACGGAATGAGTTTTACTTGAGGCAGAGTCATCCAATTTACATCCTCTTGTAGACCACAAGCCACTTTCATTTCCACCCCTAAATAAATAGGCAGAAAAATAGTTCTTAGTTAGCTCAAGTTTCCTGGTGCCTGACGTGGGGCATGCTCTCAAAATCATTTTCTATTTTTCTTGAGAGCATTATGTCTATTTCTCACACCTGAGGCCTGTTTCTCGAAAGCACCGGTAAAGTTTGCTGCCCGAAATAATCAAATCAGAATCTAATGAAAAAAAGCCCGTCCCTAGCTAACAAACCCGTCCAGTTTTACTTTTTCAGTTTTAGTTTTGAGTCATGTTATCTGCAACAACAGCTTTCCAGGCTCTTGAATTATCGGGACGTGGAAGGACTCCAAGGTCTTGTTTTTTAAAAGGAGAATAGCTCAATTTACTGTATAAGTATCTGTCCTTTGAATAAACAGTAGGGGAAACAATTACGCCATCCAGTGGACAGAGATTTATCCGATGGTATCTGGTAACTCATTTAGACGGTAATCGAATCTGAATGTAACACCACCATACGCAATACTGAGATGTCCTTCAGTTTTCGTCTCAAGCCTACCTACCCGGCTGTGAAATCCCACCAGGCGCATACAGGAACAAGAGTGCTATTTGATTCGTGCTGCAAACATTAAACCATTAAAATCTTGCTTAATACAAATTTAAACTGTTCTGGCATTCACAAACAACCCTCCGGCTATGTTATAAAGAGACACCAAGAGCCATAGCTCTTGGGGACACCCACCAGAAACTGTTGGTTTGATCATGCACAAAGAGATGTTATAAGAATTTGTACTACTCGCACGGCTAATGCTGCATTGCTTCTGATATTATCCTGTGATTCTTTGTTATCTATTTACTTGTCTATTTAAATACATTATATTATTTATCTTCTCCAATAGCGTATTAAAAGATGGGGTGTGTACCGGCTTGGTTCCGAGCCCGCGTCCTCCGCTCCGCAGACCGGCGCTCTTTCGACTGAGCTAACCGGGCGGCGGTAGAATTGGGCTAGTGTTGGTTTGAACTGTTTAGACCAGCCTGACGAGCAACTCTGCTCCAAGTCATTATGAACAGCATATAATAAATCTTCAAGCATTTTCATGCCATATCCGTTGAGTAACAAGCTACTAAGTTGTTAGCTGTGGTGTTTACTTCAGGTTTACCTTAATGTGTTGAACATTGATCTCAACATCAAGCTTCTGGTTCTTTCCTGATGCAGTGATTAGACTACCAATAATACGACTATTAAGGTGGTAAAGTCCCTTTTCCTTTTCATTTTCTCTGAGCATAAGGAAATAAAAACTGTTTGATAATGAGCTACAGTAAAGATAGTAAGGTGACGTTTGAAAAACCCTTCTCTGGTTATTTCAGTGAGAAAAATATTCCGAGCTTTGCTAAATGTCATACTTTGCTCTCAAGTCATCACGATTCAGACGTGCTACGTCTTCATTCCACTGTGTCACACATGATCCGTTCATAAATGATAAGACCACTAGACACATCAAATTAAACTTGCAAATACCAATAATAAAAAAAAACAAAATAGATCATTTTTTCGCCAGTGGCATTATTAGGCAGCTAAAACTGAAGACTCAATTCTTCAAATTTTGAAGCAGGCATTCTCGGTATGTAGCAAAAACGCTGAACAACTGAAGGTTATATACTTACTTTGACACTTCCTTCACTGTTGATGGTAACATTTCATGTAAACGTTTGAAGATGACGCTAAATACCTTTGTTTTCTTTGGTGTTCCTGTTTTTGAGAAAATTAAGGTTACTAAATCTGACTCGTAGAACCAATGCAAATGCACTTTCATTCATTACGGTAAATTGCAAGGAATAACACAGTGCGAATTCCATTTGAATAAATCAATAAATAGGTATACAAAAAATTATTATGATGAACGAGCCATTAGAACAAGACTACTCAAAGAACCGAAAAAAAAAAAACTTTTTTTTGCTGAAACTAGCTTATAAACCTTCTGACGCAATAATTGCGCAGAATATCTTCCGCGCCTGTTTTACACGACAACAAATTTTAGCGCAACGTTTTTACCCTCGGGCAGTATTATACCATTTCGAAAACTGAGCAAACTCCCTGTAGGACGAAAACATTTGAAACAAGGCCTCCCACATAGACGTTCTTTTAGCCCGCTACGAAAGCCTCCCCCAACGAACGCCTGCTGAAACAAGAGGTTACAAAATAAACCAATCACAGGCGCTTCCAAAGCAAGGAAGTAAGCCCTGAGGGGGGTGGGGGGGGCGGCGTACTCCGGACTTTAAGTAGAGGAGATGATCGAAGGATTTGTTTGGGTTTGAAATTTCTCAATTCGTGGTAGTGTCCAAGGATAGTGCCCGCATATCTTGGCCGCTTAGTTCTGCGATTAAAGCACAACCAAACTTATTTCGTTTTCTGGAAATTTTTAAGGCTCGGAAATTCAGCATAGGGTATTTTGAGGGTTAAATCAAGGTCCAGGAATTTTGGGGGGGGGGGGTTGTTGGAAACCCTAGGGCTTTTTTTAGGGTTTTGATTTTTGCCCCCCTCGATTATCCCCGTCACCTGAAATCCGGAGTAACCCCCTTCGGGAAGTAAGCAATTTGGGCCTTGCGAAATCCACGAACAAACAAAGCGAAAGCTAGTGTGACCTTTCAACAAATATGCGAAACATCGATTTAAATGCTTTTCAGCGAGGGCCTGTGGCGTAATTCTCGAAAAACCTTTTTTTTTTTACCAATACCACTTGTAAAACAGGACAATTACTTCCTTGGCAAAGGCAAACCAGCTCAACCAGCCACAGGAGTGGTAAAGAAAGCGCGTGTTTTTTACCTGTTATTCTTAAGCTCAAGAAGTCGTCAATCCCTTGCCAGACTTTTCTCGATCTTGGTGCTGAGAATTTGTAGTCGTCAACAAGCACAGATGCCTGCAAAGCTAAAATGTAGAGAGATGAAGTTTTATTGGAGACGTTTAGAATTGACGACGAGGACGGGATTTAACCTGAGGTTTTTTCTGCGTCTTCTTAAAAGAAAAGACACTCCGGAAAGTTTCATTGTTCTTTTTATTTACCAGAAAAGTTAGCACTGTTATTTTTATTGCATGAGGTTAAGCCTTCTCCAAAATTATAAAACTTTTAACATTTTTAAAATAACCTGTTTCCGCCACTTTGACATTCTCGCTAAGACTAGTACAATGACGACGGCTATCTTGTTTTTCCGCCAAAATAATGCTGGCTCACGCGCGAGCGTTAGTATTTAGAAAATTCTGTACTTGTAGTCGTCCTTATCCTGGAATCTAAAGGTATGTAATGAGACTGATCACTCTCTCTCTTCAGGTTTCCGAATACGCAAGATTCCTGGTAAGTTAAGTAATATATGTTGAGAGAGAAGCGCTCGCAGCGGGGCACCATGGGTAAGAAAATTTGGTATGCACCCGAGAAATTTTGTTAACCACGTGACCGTACGCACTCCTGTCCACAACACAGGCATACCAATGTAAAATAACTCAATCAACAGGTATGGCAACCCAAATGCAACACGGAGGTTATGGGCGGGAAACCGCATGGCCACCCGGACATTTTAGAGAGAAAAAACAAGAACAAAGTCAAGTCCCACTTAATTTTAAAGTCTTTACTGACGTGGATGACAGAGAAAGAGCTAAAGCGTTAGATAAAAAACAAAGGAGATCAATTTCGTTGGAAGAAAAACAAGAAAATTGACGGTGCGAAAATGAGAAATGCTAGTGGTCAGCAAAGTGAAAATGAGCAGCAGTGAAACTAAAAAAAAGAAACCGAAGAGGGACACAAGCAATAAAACTTTTGGTGAGCACATACGAAATTTCCTCCATAAGATGTGTAACTAGGAAGTTTCACGTTGTAGTTGTGCAAAACAGCGTCAAGGAAATGTACAAAAAAAATGGGCTGCAAGGGAAAAGTTGTCTTTTTCTTTGCTAATTAGACCTTTTGATTTGTTTTTGCCGTTGCCGACGCCGTTTAGCATTACTCGATTATATTTTTTCGTTTGAGTAAATTATAGATATATCAAAAGATTGGTAGCAACTTTTAAGATTTTAAGCGCTACGGAGACAATATAACGATATAATCAATATAATCACTCTCTCTAATATCTGATGGCAGCTTACCAATATTGCTCTCCATTATGGTGACGCTAGATGATTCATTGGACCATATTTGAGCCAATTCTCTTCCAAACGACTCAGTCACTTTAGCTATCTGGATTGCTAATGTTGAGTTTTGCCAACCACCTCTCTCTGGGTCTTCCATAATACCGTTTATGATTTTACCACTTTCCTGGATATTTGTGCAAAGATAGTAACACCAGTTGTTTAAACGCAACTAACAAGGTATGCATAACTATTTTATAATTTATTTAATTGACGCAGTATTTAAGATATTATCTGATAAGACAGAGTTTTATCGATGAATTTATCATAACAAAAAGATAATATAAAATAGTGAACGATGCAAAAGCTAAACTAAAAAATACACCTTACATATAAGAACAATTAAAGAAACAATATGTATTTTGCAGTGAATATAGTAGCTGGAAAATATGTGTTTCAAGAGTAACATGCGCTAGTTCACTTTGCAAGAGAATAAGGGGGGATATGATGAAGGAAGCTAGAAAGTTTTACAGGTGAAATTAGCGGTGATGATGATGATGATGATGATGATAATTTTTTTTTTTTTTTTTATTATTATTTTTTTTTTATTTTTTTTTTTTTTTTTTTTTTTTAGTGATTTAAAATTTTTTTTTTCAAATTATATTAGTGTTTATTTTTGATTTAATAAAAAACAGAGAAATATAGTCTATTTTTTTTCCCCAACACCCCCCCTTAAAAAATGTACCACATGTGTAAACTCTCCCCGCAGAAAATAAAATTCTTATCTATGATCATTCAATCGAGAAATTAGCAAAAAAAAAAAAAAAAAAAAAAAAAAAAATAATATGAATTGTTTAAAAAAAAAAAAATATAAAAATAAAAAAAAAATATATATTAGAGTTTTTGATATCAAAATAACTGATTATTTTTAAATTGTTTTAATTTTTGTTTTTTTTTTATTTTAAAATATTTGTTTTTTTTAAAATATTTTTTTTTAAAATTTAATTTCAATTATAAAAAGAAACATTATAAATTGAAAAAAAATAAGAGGAGATATTATTATGTAAGGATGAAAATTTTTAGTGTTTAAATTATGGTTATGATTATTGTGTGTATTGTGTTAATTTTTTTTTTTTTTTTTATTATTATTTTTTTTTTTTTTTTTTTTTTTTTTTTATTATTGAAGGAAGTAAAGATTTGTCTGTCAAAGTGGATAATGGCTAAGTTTCGTGATACCATAACAGCGAGCATAATAGGCCATTTCCTTTCTCCAGAAACCCTCAGTTTAAAAATGTGGCCGACTGTGAAACCTCTCACGTGAGAAAATAAGTTTCAATTTAAGAAGAATAAAAATATCTTCACATAAGCTATCGCCTAATTGCTCCTGTTTTGAAAAACAGGGTAGGAGCTCCTTGGAAATGACCCGTTTGCTTTTACTCCGACTTACCTTGGTGACTTGACTAATGTGACGCTGGGAAGAAGATGATTCACCCGATTGAAGAGATTTTAAGGATTTGATTTGTTCATCCATCGTTCTCTTGAATGATTCAAGCTAAAAACACAATAATGTTGTGTTAACACTATCACCGTGATCATCTCTCTCTCTCTCTTTCACCTTTCCTTGAATGAACATTCCATTTTCTTTCTTTCTCATTCTCGTTGTTTCTTTCCACACTTTTCTCCCATGAATTTTTAGCACTTTTCTCTATCTACTGTTATTCTTCCCAATGTTTGTTGTGTCACTCGTTTTATCAGATTCGTCATAAAAAATGATTTCACAAATAATAAATTACCATGGTAATGGCTTCCTAATTAAGAGTTATAAGTACCTTCTGCTGAGGACTCTTACAATTCTGTGCGGTACACGTGGCAAATTCTAATGAACTTCCATTTCCCGTGCAACCAATAAGACCAAGCTCTGTTAAGAAATAAGAGGGGAAAAGTTTCACGATCTTAAATTTGTTTGAATCAAATTCATGGTACTTGATCTGAAAGGACAGAGAGATCCGCAACCTATGCAAACACTCTAAGAACAAGACTGCATCTCACCGCGAAATTCCAGTCGCTTTGCAACGTAACTAATTAAAATTTTTAGAAATATACATATAAAACAAGAAGCTTGGTAACTCAAACGATAATGTCAGGAACTAGTATAAAAAGAACTCAATTCCGTGTGAGTTCAAGAAACCCACCCCACCAACCGTAGGGAGATTAAGAAGGCGAAGACATTGAAACATTTTAACGTCGAACTCGAGGTCGAATTTTTAAACGGTACGGTCGAAAAGTCGATCAGCGTGGTGTGACTCAATAACCATTTATATTTTTGTGCGGCAAAGGCGTAGTTGCTTGGATGCATGATAACTAACCTGGGAGACGCCATTTTAGATTTCTAAAAATATGTGCTGCGCGTAAACAGATGGTAAAACCACTGAAAAGAGTTTCAATTCAAATTGGCTCGTCGGCAAAAATATTAGACGGCCCCACGTGGGCGAAGTGTCCGGTCAAGTTTTTCAACCAGGTGACGAGTAAACGTAACTTGACTGATCTTAATTGCGGGTGAAGTAAGGTGCACATTTCCTATTTTGGCTGTTTTGCCCAAAAATTCAAGATCTCACAAAAGTATCTCTTTCGACCTATACTCATTTTAAGAACAATGCTGAGAAAAACAGACACCACATGTTTACACTGGAATGCAAGGGAATACAGAAGAGGAATATATCGCCCGCATCTATCTAACGTATAGTTACATCTATAGAATAAAGTTTTTTCTAAAGTTAAAAGCCCATAGCACGAGTTTTTGCCCCCGACGAAGCAAAGAGAATTGATACTACGTGGCCACAGGTATATTTTGCCTCGATTGAATACTGGGAGATTCCAAACAATGCTTGATAAATAGATGCCTTTTTTGAATTGATATAGTTTTTATCTTATTGAAGATGTTTCATTAATATAATTAATTACCTACTTGATCTTATTTTCAGTTGCAGTATTTGACGTTTCGTGTCAAAACGCCTCATACTTCACTCTTTTAATTCATGATTGTCGAGCATATTGCAAGCAAGCGGATGAAGCCCGTGAATACAACCGTCTCTCGTTGCTCCTCTTTTTTGTCCCAAGTGGCGAAGAGCGAGGAGAGACGGCTGTATTAGCAGGCTAACGAAGATTATTTTTATACTCGTTCGGTCCCTCAGCTGAGTCTCGCCATAATACCCATTCAAATAACTGAGACCACAGTAGTCGGCAGACGTAACTAGCCATCTATAATATAATCGTTTATCGTACCAGTTGATTCCATGACAAGATGCCTCGATGAAATGGGCCGCTCTCTCGATAGAGTAGGAAACATGGCGCCAACACACATGAAATCAATGAGCGTATTCTCCTTGTGTAGAAGCTCCATGTAGTACAGGTTACCTTTAGTGAGATTTACCTTCTCTGAAGATTGATCAAGTCTTCTGAAAACAAAAAATAAACAGCATTAGCCTAACGTCACTTCGCTGCAGTACACTAACCAACACTAAAAGTGCTACACTAACCTACACTAGCAATGGCCTCTAAGAGAAAATTAACTGGGTTAATTGGTATCTGGGCATTCCTACCAAAATAACAGTATACTTTGTTTTACTTCTGCAGTTATATATTTGTCATTAGAAAAAAACGGCACGGAACGAATTCTAGTTTACCATGTGAAGGATCGTAGCGACATATCAATACAGTTTGAACCTATGATCTGCGATAAGATATTACGCCAACTAGGAGCTGTTCATTTTGTAAGTACATCACCGTAGAAGATGAAGATATGTGTGAATATATGGTCGGAATCCTGCACTTGCTAAATCTTTCTCTGAGATATTAACCATGACTACCAGTACAGGGGTGGATCCAGGATTTTTCTTGGGGGGGGGGGGGTGCACCCCAAAGGAATGAAGTAACTGACTTGTGACGTAAACAAATTTTAACAGCGAATACGAGGAAGAAGGCTTTTGACTAGGCAATAACATAATGTGAACTGTTGAGACTAAATATCTGCATGTTTGGCAAGTACCAGTTGTATTAGAAAGCTGCAGGTCATCTCAGTGGGGGAGGGGTGAGCACCCCTTGCACCCTCCCCCTAGATCCGCCCCTGTAGTTTCGTATTGTGCGACTTACAAGTCAAAGCTGTTTACTGACGTATAATGTTTCTGGTCAACAATGAGCCGCTTTCTGGAGGGAAGTTCATTATCACTCATCCATAGCTGACAGGTGTTATCACAAGACGTCTGGAAAATATAATTCCCTGTCTCAGGAGCTCTAAAGAACGACCTTAATCGCTGACCAAAACTATTCCCAATGTCTAACTTGTAAATGCAAAATGTGTCTATAAACTCCGCCCTATGTGGATCACATGGATATGAAGGACTGGACTCTAGATCAGCTACTTCAGCCCCAGGTACACCAGTCCAGAGTTCACGATAAACTGTGAAAAGAAATTAAAGAGAAAGCATTTCAGCCTGAAATGAAGTTGTCAAAAAAAGGCTGTTTGAAAATAATTTTAGCCTTGCAAAGGATTTATTTAAAGACCAGAGTGTGCGATATTGTATTCTTCATAAACAACAGAAACATAAACCAAAATAGGAGCTAGTCGCCTTCTTACCGTAGGGAATATTCAGTACAAACTCATATGATTACAAAAGCCTTTAGTCAGCAACCTCGAAACAGACCGCGAAAAATACTTGAATTTCAGTTTGTCCCTTGGGCAAGGAGTTCTCTCATTTTTGTCAAGGGCGACCTCTTCCCATCTTAGTTAATGATTTTGTTGGAGGATGAATTGCATGGACCCGTTTCCATTGTGAAGTAAGCTTTGACGGTTACTTGCCAAGCAAGAAAACCTACTTGTCCCGGTTACCGCACGGGACTTTTTTTCAAGCCCTGCTTCAAAGCTAAGTTGCTGGCCTGGTTGGTCAAGGAATTAAACCCTGCTCGAGTCTGATTCTCTTCACTTTCTTTACTTAACTGCCTTTGTAAGGTGTTTACACAACATAAATGTCATTACCCTGGTCCCAGGGGTTTTTCTTGAAAATTTTTTCCCTGTGTCAGAGAACGACCCGGGCGAAGCGACTCGTTTTCGCCGCTTTGGACGACTCTGTCTGTCTCTTTCACACAGAGTCTGAAAAATTAAGTAAAACCTCTGGTACCAGGGCCTAAAATGTCGTTTATTACAACATTTATTACAACGTTTATTACAACGAGAAGTTAGATGCCGCAGGACCACTGATAGGGATTACAAGGTATAGGAAAGTGTTATTAAAAGTGAAAATAATAATAAATGGTTTGCTATTTGGTCTTAGCTCCGTGGCCTTTCACTGCGTAAGTGTATACCGTTATTCCGTCATGGCCGTTTGATGAAAGCCATCCAGGCCATTACATGAGCTTTACCTTTCTTTACTGTGCAGTTTACATCCTCGGAACGTCCGAAAGTCTTTGTTTGTGGATCAAACATGATTCCCGTTGACAAACCAGTGCGATGGCGTGCCCTGTTTTTAACGCAGTCATAATACGCTCTGCAGTCCTCTGGGTCAGCGTGCAAGCCATCAGTTTTACCAATACAAAAATCTAAAGTATGAGTGAGAAAATGAATAAAAATTGACTACAAATGAATCTCTATTCAGCATGTTCCCTAGTCAGCGCTCTTAATGTGTTTGTGCATTTTGCCCTTCATGAAAAAAAAAAATTCAAAGAACTTGAAGTCGCCGGGTGAGATGTGTGTTCCTGTAATAGGGCTTTTGAAAAAAAAAAAGGTCATGATTTTTCATGCAATGTTAATGCTCGTGCAATATGTCCCCTTTTACACTAACAAAATTTCCTAGATAAGTGCCTTTGGCAAGTTTTCTATCACAAAATTTAGCTAATACAATATTTCTAGTCCTCGTAGAGGCTTGTAAAAGCTTGTAAAGACATAAATAAATTTCCTCGACAAGCGCGCACGTGTAGTCAAATCTATTACGGGAAGCAGGTATTACTAGACTTCCCATCAACCACTTGTGTCTTGTGTTTTGTTGGTATCCCCTTCCCGCTTCTAATATTAAACACAGTAACACTAATAGATATCGTCCTTGACAAGGATTCCAAACACAACGTCCCTTGCACTGGAACAACAAAACATTTTTTCTTAACTGGAATTAATTGGTCATCGTCTCCCATTACTTGCACCCGAAGATGGGGAGTCGCTAGAAACTAGTCGTGAATGATTACGCAATCACTAGATGGGTGAGTTAAAGGGACTGTAAAACCTCTTCCTTATTTACCCTTTGGCAATTTTAAACGAAAGCAAAACCTTGACAAAATAAAGGCTCCGTTTAAGAGTTTAGGGATTTGGGCTTCTAAACGATAGAAATACAGTGGAACCTCGCAATAATGAAGGACCAAAGGACTGGCAAACTGTGTTTGCTTTAACCTGTACTATAGGGAGGTTCCTTTATATCGAGGTTCTTTTCTATATATATATTTCTGTTTCTGGGGCGAAGAACATCATTCCTTATACCAAGCACTTCGTTGCATAAAGGTTCGATGTTCCACACTGTAGTAACTTGTAGTAACTTGTAGTAGTTTCGCGGTAGAAAAATTTAGCGAAAACGATTGAAAATGACAAAATGATGGCTGAAGAATATGGACGCCGAGAAAATGCCTAAAATAACTTAAGGAATCTTTCTTCCCGAACGCTTTTTTAGAACCTAAAGGCCATCAACGTGAACAAGAAATTAGGGTATGCTTCAGCTAGTGTCAACGACATATAATATACAGTGTAGCAGTAATATTGAACAGGATGAAACAGATGATATTCGGATTAACGCGACATAATTAATTCGGAAATTTATGTTTACAAACGAAGATTTTATTCTCTTTGGGTAAATAGGATTAGGCAATGTATTTCCAAAAAAGCCCCAGAACTCCATTAGAGATTTCGTTTATATTTATGTAGGAACTTTAGCACCAGACAGTTGACGTAAAAGTGATTTTAATTATGTGCTGTGCACCGAAAAGGAACAATAATTTGAAGCGTGCCCCCTCTTCTAACCATTAACACCTCTTAATCAATGACTGCTTTTCCGTTCTTTAATTTTTGGACCTGAGCTTTTGTTTTCCTTGAAAGTCTAATACAATCGTTGTCAAGTGTATATACATTTCCATGTTTTTATTTATGTACTCTTCGGAGGAACGGATTGCATGTTCCCATGCTAATAGACAAAAAAAGAATTTCGTTCACACCCGAGGCCCGAAGCCCGAGTATGAAAAAAGCCGACCGAGGCGTTCAAGTTTTTTATCTATTCTGTGCTCCTAAAACCAAAATATATATGACTGAGAAGGACGGCTATACATTAAAAAAAAAAAAGAATCTGCTTTTTCGTTGGGGAGAATTTTCTTTTGTCTCCTTTCCTGTGACTTATGATTTTTGAGGGAAAATCATATATTGCTAAATAACTAATCATTTTTAGCCGCAGAGGGTAAGAAAGATCGCCTACTAGGAAAACAGAAAAGTCATATGAATTAGAAGTTTAGTTAACACAGGTGAACAGCTGAATGTACTTATAGTCGGCCAAGCAAAGAGCAATATGAGATAATGAAATTTCCGGGGAAATTTCCCAAGCGGTAAAGCAAAGAGTTTGCCTCTTTGTAAAAAAAGTCGCGGTAATAAGTGGAGCTGTTGAGGGAACGTAGTGAAAATTATATAGAAAGGAACGGAAATAATGACTTGCCCGATGAAAAGAAAGAAAAAGAAACTCAATCAAATATGTAAACTTCTTCATGAGCTTATTTATCGTCTGCACACTCTAGTCAATCAGGCAACCTCATAATGAAAAAGATTTTTTTCTCTGAATAAATTATACTCGCTGATTTATCGTATCTCATTTGGTGTCAAATTAAGCCGTCCTCAGTTAAACTACCACGTTTTCCATGGTAAGGAGGGCAAAATGTCAGCTTTTTCTTAACAAAGAGCAAAAAACACCATTTTTGATATACACTACCACGGAAAACTTGTCAACGAAATTATGCTTTAGTAGGTAGCTAACATTTCATTTAATCTCCTAACGTCACGAAATTACTGTATGTGTCAAAATGACTCGTGTTGAACAAACTTTCGCGTTTTCAATTATTCATCAAAAGGATAAATAATACATCCAGAGAATTCCTTGCTACTTTTTTCTGCAGCTTGGACAACTACAACTAATGACCGTGTATTTCAAATAGATAGGTAGCAGAAAGTTCATATCAAATATAATACACTTGTGCGCGTTTGGGAAGTTATGACATATCAACTATATCCTTCTAGATCATTACCTTTATCGTAATAGCCTTCAGGTCCAGAAGCCAACAAACGCTGAAGAAAAGAAAACCGAAAAAATGTTACCAAAAAACAGATTTCTTAATAGCAAAATAAAGCACAAGTAAATGTAGAAATCTTATAGCTGAGAACAGGTTAGGATAAACATTATTTCCTTTAACAGCTTTACCTGGATTAAAACCGCAATAACTAAAATGTGGAGCATCACGAATCAGCCTCTTAACTTTGACTTATTCTCAAAGTACGAGCATTGATGTTTTCTTTGTAGTTTTGAGTGGAACGTCTTTCGAAATGACTATAATACAATAATAATGCAGCTCAGAAAGGCAAGGATTTCAAACTTGTCTGTCACCTCAGAAAGTGTGTACAGAAGGTCTATAGGTTAACCCGCTGATTGGGCAATGTTTAATGCTTTGTTATTATAATGAGATTATGTGACAGGAACTTTGTGTTTGCGTTTCGCTTCTTTAGTTCTAGAAATTCAATATTTTTTCTAACTAACGACACAAGGTCAATTAAGCGAAATGCCATTGCAAGTAAATTTGTTTACGAAGTGTACTACGTCTAATTACAAAATAAAAAAGAGATGGAACTCCTGACAGACTACAGGTTGAAAATGTTGCCTGTGTAACTCGCCTTTGCGTTATTCGCAAGTTGATTGATTAAGAAAGGCCCTCATCTCTTTAGCAGGCCCAAATAGCGACCAGCATCTAATTTCTCCCAACAATAACACTGCCTGATCAAACATACAGGTCATGAGAATGAATGAATTGATCATCAAAGATGACTGAATGTCTTCGCATTTGAAAAAATTCTCTCAAGTAGTACCTCTGGAATGTATGAACACTGTGTAGAGAAAAGGTATGTTGATCGATTGGGGGATTGATTGCACGAGACTACAGCAACAATAACAAAAAGGTTTTATTCAAACTCAACTGTTAATCATTTACATGTAATGTTCCCACCCGAAAATAGCTAAGGAACCAATGGAGGTGGAGGGAGGAAAGACAAATACTGCCAAAGTGATATGAAGAATTCGGAAAGCATGACAAGAAAGACCAAGAAAACTAGTTGCGTTCTCGCACATGTTTCCACTAAACGGTAAACAAAATAGGCCTTCGAAGTTAAAACGTGGTAGAAAACAAACGAAAATGATATTCTTATCCGTTGATTAAATTTTCCGACTTCTGGCGACCGTTCATGCTGTGATCATTTGCGTCCGCTCGCGGTCTTCACGCGTGCGTTTAGCACACTTCATGACAGTCCCCCTCGACTATTTGTGAGGTAAAAAGACTATTAGGTCTAAGCCAAACGTCAAGGCTTTTTTATGAGACGAACCAAACTTAGCGAGTTGAGTTCATGACAAATTCGACTTCTGGCTGAGTTAAGTTCGTCTGAAAAAAAGTTGGGGCATCTTTTTCAAGTTTCAATGCTATGCCTGCAAAAATCACTCCAAAAATTATTATGGTTAGTGCTCCATGATGAAATTCATAACTTCATAACTCTGCAGGACCATTGTAAAAGCCCTAGGTAATAACTTCAGCACAAAATTGACCTTAATCAGTGATATATCGTGACACAGCCCCTTTAACTTAATTTAGGTCTGACACAAATTAGAGTTTGGTTCGTCTCATGAAAAGTTCGACGTTTGTCCTAGGCCTTAGTCTCCGGAACTAGATTAGATGTCTCGAACTACATTGGACAGACCGATCATTTAATAAACAGGCGACTGACTCGCAATCGACCCGCTACCCTCGGGGCCGGTCGCTTACCCTTGGACGGGTGACCTGGCCCGTTTTCTTTCTCAGCTATCTAAGCAGTGTCGTCACCGAAATTTTTATTCGATTAAAAAACGTTTCCAAGCAAAAAGGAGGTAGTCCATAGTTAGGTTAACAATTGAGGATTTTGAGATAATTTGTACATTGCTTTTAAAACAGAGTAAGGTCTGCATCAGGTCTAAAATAATGAGAAAAGGAAATTTCAAAACCCTAAGGTTTCTAGAAAATTTTACTTGAAGTGCATATTTATAATAAGAGACAAAAACAGCAGCAAGGTTCTCCCAAAGCCCGTTAGCGGACATACTAACAGATGTTTACACCCTTTTCTACTTATTTTTTTCATTCTAAAATTCAACTACATTGCCTTTTTCTTTCCTGAAA